AGAAGACAGATCCTAGGCATAGTGTTAGAATTTTTTAGTTCAAAATACTGAGTATTTAGCATGTTGCTTTACAAAAATAGTTATCTACATGGATATGTTTGCATGTGGGTGTGTATGGTTTGCATTTAGGGAAATAGGAGAGAGTGCATAGCATGGAAATAGATAGTCGTGGAGTTTTGTTTGGAAATGCATTTAGGAAAGCAAAGGATTTTCTATCTAGAGTTCATCGGAGGGATGGGAATCATGAAAATATGTTTCTTCATGCTTCATCATTTGTTAGAAGAATTTCTATCTATTGGTAAAATGTATGTTTCATTTCTTTTTTCCATGCCCTTTGCCAAATCTAATAATCTCATTTCTAGAAGAATTTTCTAAAAGAATTATTCCAAAGTTGGGAAAATAATAGAAAATAAAATTAAATTAATCATGACTCCTTCTTTTCTCCATTTTAAAACAAATCAATGCAGCAACAAAGACCTATGTTATAACTCAAAAACTTCAAAACTCAAGTTCTTGTCTGAGCACCTATGTGCCAAACCCAAGTTGCTGTTGGAAGTGTTGAGCTCCCAAAATCTGACTCAAATCAATCCCAGCTTCAGACTAACTTCACTGTCTCAGTAAAATTTGGATTGGGACACCTAAAGCCCAGTTTTTGTGGGGGGAAAATTTAACAGCTGGTTTTGAATATAACTGCATAATCTCATATATACAGTTAAGAAGAGACAGCAGTCAAAGAAGGGAAGCGAGGAAGTGAATTAAATAATTTTTTTAATTTGTTACCCAGTTTTCCTCTTTACCTCATGGTAGCAAGGAAACATTTTAAGTCATCTTTATCGTTGCAGCAGTCAGTAGGCAGAAACCAAGCACAGATAATAGTCTTTCTGATCTTCACTCAGCAGAGGAAGAACAGTCCTCTTCTCCCAATTGACTGTTTGATGAAACACTTCTCCTCGCAAAAAATATGTCAATGGGTATTTTGAAATTTAATTTGAACTACTCAGATATTACCAAATGGATCTGGGATTTGGGCAGAAACTTGTCTCAGTGACATGCACATGGAAAAGTTAACAGATTAGTTAGACAGGCACATTTTTCAGTGCAAGTTACAAAGAAAAGATTTTGTGATGCTTAACTGCTGCTGTGACTACTGTCATCGATTTAAGGAACTGCATTCCAGCCAGTTACACCTGTACTGGGGCTAACAGCTACTGCTTGAAGCAGCATTTCTCTCTATGGCAAGTTCATTAGAAGGTTTACCTTGGGAAGTGTTAGAAAATAGCATTTGAGATGCTGCTGAGCTTTTCTGGAACAGGAGTTAGCAGAGGACATTTACAAATCAGCAAGCTGCTCTGGACCTTACGTTCTGGGGGATGCCTCTCTTTCTTTCACAAAGAAGCAGAAGTATAAATGTGGAGTATTTATTATGGTTTTACCTTTCTCAGCTGGAAGAAACTGAGCTGCTGCTGCCAGCTCTAGGGAACACTCATAGGCAAATAATGCATTTCCACAAAGCCTGAGTAACTCTCAACTGAAGCAGCTCTTCCAGAAAGGCATCTTGTACTCAGGAAAGTGTTGAAAAATGAAGGATCCACCATGTTTCTTCATAGCTTGTTCCAGTGATTAAGCTTCTGTACTTTTACAAGTGTCATCTTGTTTTAAATTTGAATTTGTCTGACTTCTATTTCCGTCTGATCTTTATGTCCCTTTTCCCCTTGCAGCTTTTTTTTCAGTGCCAGGTTGGACAGAGCTTTGAGCAACCTGATCTAGTGGAAGATGTCCCTGCACGTGGCAGCGGGTTGGAACTGGATGAGCTTTAAGGTGCTTTCCAACATTCTGTGATTCTGTGCCTTTCTCTGTTAAAGTGCCCTGTGTTTCCTGTTTTCTCCCTGAGGAGATTCTGACACATCACAACCATATTTTCTGTCAGCTTTCCTTTTAATAAGTGTCATTGCTTCCAGGAAATTAAATATCGCTTTTGCCCTCTGCACCAGATGTAAAAAACTCAATGCTGTGCTGACTTTGTACCCAGACTGTTGTTGGGAGCCAGCCAACAGGAGAGGCCAAGTTGCTCTGCCCTTGTCAGTGTTCACCCGCAGGCTGCCAGATGCAGATTTTAGCAGCAGCAACTCAATATGTTAGCTCAGGATCAATGATAGAAAGAATGGATAACCACTTTCCTAGCAACTCCAACTAACAGAAATAAGCAGGGATTTCTCAGAGGGGTATTTTTTTGTGCTCTACTTCCAACTACTTCACTAGTTTTAAGGTAAGCATTTAAGAACAATACCGTTCAGGTGGAAAGCATCATCATATATGCGAAATACACTAAAGTGGGATTAGGCTTTTTCTCATTCCAAGCAGAATGCTTATTAACTAATTCATTACACTAAAGTGGTTAAGTATAAATTATTTATGAGGAATTCATTTTTCCTCATTTTGGGTTCCAGCCATTACAAATTTGGCTCTGCAGCCACAGCTGTTTCTTCTAAAAACTAACAGCTTGAGAAAAACAGGCCAAGTAGAATACAATTCTGATTTCAATTGCAAATATTTAGAAATTTAAAGAAAGCCAGCAGGTAAAAGCACTGGATATTTTTCACTGCTCTAATAAAAGCTCAATCACTAAGTAAGTTAAAGCCAAACTATCAGGGTGCCACAATGTCCTGGGTTTAGCAGCAGCTGTCAATTTTTTCTCCTTGGTAGCTGGTGCAGCGCTGTTTTTGACCTTCGGCCTGGGAACAGTGTTGATAACACCCGATGTTTTTACTTACTGCTCAAATGGTTAGTCTGACCAAGGACTTTCTGAGCCTCATGCTCTGCCAGGGAGGAGGGGAAGCTGGGAGGAAGTAGAGACAGGACACTTGACCCAAACTGACCAAAGAGGTATTCCATACCACAGCACGTCATGCCCGGGATGTAATTGGGAGTTACCCGGAAGGGCTAGTTCACTGTGGGGCAAGACTAGGTATCGGTCAGTGCTCGATTGGGCTGGGTATTACCGGTTGGTGGGTGGTATTGCATTCTCTTCCTTTGTTATTTCCTTTATCATTATTATTATTGGTGGTAGCAGTAATGGTTTGTGTTATACCATAGTTATTAAACTGTGCTTATCTCAACCTGTGGGTGTTACATTCTTTTTGATTATCCTCCCCATGCCTCCGGGAGCGGAGGAAGAAAGTTACTGCTGAGCAGTGCTTAACACAGAGTCAAGGCCTTTTCTGCTCCTTACCCCACCAGTAAGTAGGTTGTGGGTGCACGCAAGAGCTGGGAGAGGACACAGGCAGGGTAGCTGACCCCAGCGGACCCAGGGGTTATCCCACACCATATGGTGTCATGCTCAGCAGGAAAAGCTGGGGGAAGGAAGTGGGGGGAAGTTCAGAATGATGGCTTCCCAAGTAACTGTTATGTGTGATGAAGCCCTGCTTTCCTAGATATGGCTGAACACCTGCCTGCCCATGGGAAGTGGTGAGTGAATTCCTTGCTTTGCTTTGCTTGCATGTAGAGCTTGTGCTTTACCTGTTAAATTGTCTTTATATCAACCCATGAGTTTCTTACTTTCAACTTTCTAGTTCTCTCCCTCATCTCACCAAGGAGAGCAAGTGAGTGGCTGTGTGGGGCTCAGTTGCTGGCTGGGATTAATGCAAATAAGCATTTTAAAAGTAGGATGAACTTTTAAGTGGAAGAAAGAATTTTCTTCTTTCTGACATCCACCTTTATTTAGCAAAGACAATGACATACAGCAAGTGCACTCAACCTGGCAGGAAGATAGTTTTAAAACAGCACAGCACAGGCTCTCAGAAGGGGCATCTGTCCTGCAGCAGACCCCAGTTTTGGCTCCTGCCATGCTCCAGTCTCAGCAGCAACTTGGTCTTGTGTAGGCAAAAGGTGTTCATGACTGATTATGTCTTGTCCCACTCACTGACAGTCAGTATTACCTAGTTTGGACTGACTTTTGTCTAGTGCCAGAGGAACAATAACCACCTTTGGCTGTTGCTGGACTCCTCTCACATCTGTTGCCCAGCTCAGACTGCGCAGACATGATAACTGAACACTCGCAGCCTGGCACCAACAGCCCTGCACTGCTGTTCTGCCCCATCCCTGTGCAGGGGGGAGCTCAGCCCATCCACAGCCTGCCTTCCAGTGAGCACAAGCGCTTTGCTATGAACCAGAGCACGTTATTTTTCTCATCCACAGCCAAGGAACCAGGAGGCACAGGCACTGTATCACTGTATCACAGTATGTTAGAGATTGGAAGGGACCTCAAAAGATCATCTAGTCCAATCCCCCTGCCGGCGCAGGAACATCTAGATAAGGTTACAAAGGTTACTGTACACCCCATGCATGAGGTACTGGCTCCCCCGGGAGGATCCTTGGGGAAGTGCTCGCAGCAACAACTGGGGAATGAAATCCACAAATCCATGGGAGCAGGCACGGCTTCCAGAGCCCCCACTCTAAGTGACAATTTTGAGAGTATTCTTGTAATTAGGAGCATAGAGATTTACATTGAGTCAATTAACTTTTCACAGTGGCCGAGTCACGACACTGTCTAATTACTCAATCAGTTTTTGCTTGTGCTTCTCCACTTCATCATCTGTTAGAGGCCTCAAATTGAAGCTGGCAAAAATTGAATGTTCTCACTTCAAAGCCCCTTTCCCAATTCTCTCTATTCATCAGCTTTATTTTTGCAGCCATTTATAGACCTGGCTGATGTTGCAGATACCGATAAAAGAATTTAAAGAGACTTATGTTGGCAAATGATTGTATTACACTTTAAAGAGGCCCTAAAGATTGACATAATTTTTAATTACCAATAACACAGGCAAAGCTAGAAAACAGTGGTTGTTGTGGATCAGAATAGTGACTCTAATTCAAGTAAATGTGAAGAGATACAACTGCCTTTGTTTGAAAAATTCAGAGTTCAAAATTACTGCGTGAATACTTAACAACACAAATTGTGGACTTCAAACCACTCACTCAAGAGCAAAGAAGTACTGGGAGGAATGCCACCAACTTTTTCATGTAGTCTTAACTTCTTCATGCCATCCAGCTACTTACTAAGGGAAAATTAGAAAGGATACGCTCAGTAGTATGTCATATCCCATTTTTCACAGACTTCTTTCTCCCTTCTGTATTTCTACCTCATATGCTGCTTTTTTTTTTTTTTTTTTAAAATGTGAGCAGTTCTGCAAAGCCATATAAAATTATGGCTTATTAAAACCAGGAACAGGTGATGCCATATCACAGTGCACTGACACAGAGAAGAGCCTTAGAACCACAAATCCACTTTTTTTTTTTTTTTTTATTAAAATAACACCAAGTTTAAGAAATCAATGCAGTGCAAAGGAACTTCAACTCATCATCCTTAAGTATGTAAACTGCATTCCCATCCTGACATGACTGACATAATACAGAAACACTATCCTAGGCGAATATCAAAGTTAAAGACTGGCATGCTGGGCAAGGAAGGTTCTTATTCTTTGCAAGAGTTCTTTCTTTACGCTGTCTGGTACCAAGGCTGAAACACAAATAAGAAAGCAAGAAGTAAAAAACCAGGACAACATGGAAAATATGCTAATACTGACCTTTCACAACAGCTATTCTTTTTTTTGTTCTTGCAATTCTGTTAATACCTGAAAGTAACTGAAGCTACTTGATTCTCATATAGCACACCTATATTTTTCCCATTTAAAATGGTGTATTTATATGTCCTAACACATCCATGTTTACATTTTCTTACCTCTGCCTTTGGGAGTGATTTCTGCCACCAAATCGTCAACAGTAACATGCTCTAATCCTTTTTCTTTAATAACATCTGGGGAAGACCAAGAATTATATTTTTAAGTCTTTTAGCACATTAATTAGAAGACAAAACCTATCCCAATAATTAAGAGACAAAACCTGCAAACGTAGGTCATCAGAGGATATGAAGTAGCATGTGACCTAAATGTAACTCAGTGCCTACTGCATTGCACAGTGGATTTATCCTCTCATTCATACCATGGGTTTAACAATGCAAACTTGGAATTACTGATGCATCTTGATCAGCTCATATTTTAGAATCAAACACAACACAGTTTAAGATTATCTGAGCATTACCAGGTGTCTGTATTGCTTGAGTGTTGTAGCGCTTATCTCTTCAAACACATTATTTACATGATAGGGATAAAGAAATGCGGTTGGAAAAAGACTCTGGAATATATAGCAAGAGAGAACACAGTGACAGTAAATGCTCACTACTCCTCCTAATTGGTTTAAATAACACCTCTGTATTTCAACAAAGTAAAAAAGCATATCTGAAAGAAGATATGCATCTACAGCAAAACCTAGATTAAGATATGCTGTATGATTAATGCATATTAGCATTTAAACAACTGTTTACTTATAGTACCTTGAAGACCTAAAGATGCAAAATCAATGCTGAGAAGAAACTTCCAATCAGCAGCATAAACCTGAGGTTTTTTTTTGTGGAAATGTGAATGTTTTTAACTGTATCCACAGGACTGACTGTTCAAGACACTAAATCCATTTTCTGAACTGACATCACATGAACTATTAGTACACTGTTTTTCTTGGCTGAATTTCCTGTTGAAGATAACCCTGGATTGCTCAATTACTGGTTGTAACCCACAATGGCAAGAAGCTCTAGAACAAGCTACCAAAAACCACCCCAAAACCCCCAGCCCAACAATAACAACAACAGACACTCCCCACCCCACCCCCCCAATTCCTCTCTGTCCTTTCCTTTGGAGGCTGTTGGGCCCTTAACAGGGACAAATGAACTTCTGCTTGCAGTTACAGTTCAAAGTACTAATATAAACCAAACATTTTACATAACTTTCCTATAGCAGAGTATATAAAGTTGAGAAAGCAGATAAACATCCCTTCCACTACCTGTACTACTGAAATGGGGAACCTCTGGCAGTGGTATCAGGCAGACAACTGCCAGCATGGATCATTTCAGCCTTTTCTGCAAATCCACCTATGAAAACAACACACTGTGGAGACAGTGTTCTCACAGGAGAATGGATAATTGTTACATAAGCTCTGAATAATCCTGAAAGATACAGCAAGGCCATGAGAGGCCCAAAGAAGCTTAAGCAAGCAAGATAAGAAGAACCTGGAATTCACTGAGTTATGAGAACTGTGGACTGCTGGCAAGCTTTTGAGGTCAATTTCTCACACCTGTGTTTAACCAATTATATGTTAGTCACTAAGGGTCTTCAAGACATGTATCCAATCATAATATGCCAAATCACTGTAAGCACATGTAAGAAATAGTATACAAGGAGTTAAGGCTTTGTAATAAACGTCTTTTGTCTGATCATACCGATTTCTGACTGAGTCCATATATATTCTGCAGCAACACACTCAGCCCTATCAAATGAAAAGTTTTGTGATGGAATATTCAGTAGCTGGGCACAATAGACCAAATCAGAACTAAAGCAAAAGCTCCAGGCATTTGTTATTTGTTTTAAGGAAATTTCATTACGTGGTAGTATTCCTGGTTGCTGAAATACTATTTGTAAATCTCATATAATTTACAAGCCAGTAAATTGTAGCAATGCTCAATACTTAACTCAGAACTAAAGATTCAGATATCTAGAGGTTCATCAGCTTCTTTTCTCTCATCTAAGTAGGTGATCTTACTTTCAAGAATTGTACTTGGAAAGAGTACAAATGTACTTCATCTCCCATGTGCAAACAGAGTTCTTTCAAGCTGTTAAGTTGCGTATCACTTATTTGCTCCATCTTCTTCTATATTGTTTTTTATTCTCCAGTGGTAAGGAAGTCATCTCTCTCAAAACAAAAAGCTGTATCATCATGAATATGTAGGGAATCAATTCCAAGACTTTTCCTCCTGAACTTAAGAAGGTTCAGATCAGAAAAGAAGTGTGCAAGATGGCAAGCTGCTTTCTTGCATGGAAAACCAATTGCCAGGGATACCTTCCTCTTGCCCATGTCTTATTTAAATTGAGTATTACACAGCAAAGCCTTCATCTGGGACTTTTACTTGGCCAGAACTTCAGCTGATTACAAAGGACATTAGTTATTTGACCCTTGTTACCTTTGCAGTGTGCCTTCAGCTGATCCTTCCAGCCGCATTCGATTAATTTGGCTCTAAGCAACTCTTTAAGGCTGTTAAGACAATATACAAACTTGTTAGGAACAGAAAACATTCCTGACAGCTTAACTATGTTTCAGGATGACAATTAAGTCTACAATTCACACAACAGAACTCCCAGACCAGCAGCAGAAACAGCTGAACAGCATGTGAACCCTAACGTGAATGAGTAGTAATTTCAGTTTACCATGTTGGACTGAGAGGAGTTGGCAGCTCAGAAGCTAATTTCACAGTATTTCTTTCAGGCAGCATTAATGCTGCAGCCACAGAAAAGAGGTAGAAGCCCTTGAGTCACTTGAACTGCTCAGGTCTACTCTGTCAGCATATGTATGCTTACTTTAAAAGTTAAAATATTTCACCTGAAAACAGGCCTTCAAGAGAAAATCTTCCCTCTTCCCTTCTAAAAGAAGAATTCCATACAACTGTTTTCAACAGCAGTTTATCTTCCCAGTTATGCTTTACCTCTTGTTCGGTGAAGACAAAGGGACCAGGTATCTTTCTAATGTGGTTAGCAATTATAAGCATAAGCAAAAAGGATTCAGGCGTTAAAATGGACAAGACTTACAACAATCTGCTGCAATGATACATCTACTCCATGTATCAATAGAGAATATTGAAAGTTAGCTAAGAAAGTGAAAATTAGTACTGATCATAGAAATGCTCTGATAAAACTTGCTTATAATACAGCTTTTGATGTCCTGACAAAACTCTTCTCACTGTTAGACTAAAATAGTTCCCAATACCATTTCAAGAAATTGCTTGCTCTGCTGAAGCGCTGTGAAATCTCCAGTGGGATGGTCACAACCAGGAAAGGAGCACAGTGTAGACACCGTGTCTATGAAAGGTTACACTGGGCACAGGGCTATGTGATGACTTAAGGAGAAGACTCCTTCTCATACACGCCTTGAGAAATAAAGGAAATGGAGCTTTTGGTGCATGGTGTTATGAGTATAGTGAAATGATGATGCGGATGCATGGCCAACAGGCCAAGGGAGATGATTCTCCCCCTTCTACTCTGCTGAGACACCACACAGAGTACTGTGTGCAGCTCTGTAGTTCTTAGCACAGGAAAGACATGAACCTATTGGAGAGGGTCCAGAGAAAGTCCACAATAATGATCAGAGGGACAGAGCACCTCTCCTGTGAGGAAAGGCTGAGAGAGTTGGGGTCATTCAGCCTGGAGAAGCTCCAGGGAGACTCTGTTGTGGCCTTTCAGTTCTTTAAAGGGGCCTATAAGAAAGCTGGGGAGAGACTTTTTAACAGGAGCCCTTGTGACAGGACGAGGGGTGATGGTTTTAAACTAAAAGAGAGAGATTCAGGCTGGACGTGAGAAAGAAGTTTTTACAATGAAGGTGGTAAAATACTGGCACAGGTTTCCCAGAGAGGTGGTGGATGTGTCATCCACAGAGACATTCAACACCAGACTGGATGTGGTTCTGGACAACCTGATTATTTAAAGATGTCCCTGCTCATTGCAGGAGGGCTGGACTGGATGAGCTTTGAAGGCCCCTTCCAACCCAAACTATTTATAAGTCTGCTAATGATATGTAACTATAATGCAAATAAAACAGACTTAAGAGACAACAAAAGGCCAAAACCTAGCTGCCACACCACACTGCATAATTCAATTGTTTACCTTTATTGGGATCGCTAGAATGACTTGCACAAGTGCTGTTTTATGTGTTCCGTTGCATATTTACTTCCCTAACATGAGACAAATACACAGGAGAAAGTCAAATAGGGAAGCTTTGTCTCATTCTCTTTATCAGGAAATAACAAAATTTAACTGCAACAAGTGCATTTTAATGGTGATTTTTATAAGAACCAAGGGCAAAAAATGCTGGAATAAGAAAAAGCTAAGAGTTTAAGAGTTCATAAGCCAACCACCCCCTCCTTTATTTTTCTATCTCCCCTTTTCAAGTGAAAAACTAACATAAAACTGCTCCAAAGGCAAAAATAAGATATTTTTTAATACAGCTTTACATAATACATAAGGCTTTCACATGCAGGTATTTGCAGGATTTAGCGTTAAATCTACTTAATCTTTACTTCTAGGAGTGGCTCATGTTCGATGGTATTTTTCAAGTGGCACGGAATCAGAAGCCTGCTTACCGTTCTCGCTCTCCTGTTTCTATTAGCTTTTGGTTAATGGTTGCTCTCATCTGGGCATCTTTGTTCATGTTGGAAGTCCAGGTTTTTCACAAACGACAGGGCGCAGATGAGGGGCTGACCACCATCCGTGTCACTAACATAACAAAAGGAAAGTCACTCGCACAGTTACAGACAGCACCACGCCCGCTGCTAACGACCGGAGAGAGCCCCGGAACCAGCACCAGAACAGCACCCGCCGGGCCGGGCTGCCTCGCTCTGGGGTGCCGGTAGCTAACCGAGCCGCTGAAGCGGGCGCGGACTCCCCGCATCCCGTCCTTCCTCTCCTCCCCTCCCTTCCCGCCCGCCCGGGCTCCCCCCGCGGCCGAATCGGAGCTGCGAGCACGGGGCAAGGCCCCAGCAGGCCACGATCCGTCGCTACGGGCTCACCCCCGCCGCAGCACGACACACACAGGCCTCGGCGGCACGAGATGGAGCACCTCACGCTCGGGCGCCGACAGGAAGTGCGGCTGGGGACTACAGCTCCCGGCATGCCCCGCTGTCCCGGCCCCGTGGTGCTGCGCGGTGGCTCCCGCCTATTCTCCGAGCTGCTCCCGGTGCCGCGGCATGGCGGCTCACTGCTCTCTGCAGGCCAAGCGCCTGCTCCTGGACCCCAAATTCGAGGGTTACAAGCTGTCTCTGGAGCCGCTGGCCTGCTACCAGCTGGAGCTCGACGCGGGTGAGGAGTGGGGCGGGGCGGCACGGCTTGGCTGGGCGGGTGAGACAGCCGGCCTCCCCTTCGCCCTGTGGCCTGGAGGGTCCTCCTGCGGTACTCCCCTGGGAGGCCCAGTGGCCCTAGTTGCAGGCGTTCCCCGAGGTGGGGGCAGCCCGGCCCGCTGTGATGGGCGGCCTGCGCGCCTCTCCTGGGTCGGAACAGTCGGCGGTTGGCATACCTAGCGTTTCCTCTTGGTTGCTCTCGTTACAATTGGCTGCACCGTTGTCTTTGGTGTCCCCGTGTGTTCACCCAGCTCCGTGGTGGATCAAGGTCTCAGGCTGTTGTTACATCCCCGCACATTACAATGGCCTGCCCCTGTGAGTTTGAACTGAGTTTCTAAATTAGTAAGGGAATCTGTGTGATAAATCTGGCTTTGCCTTGTACACACGCAATAGTGTTCACAGTGGCAGGGTACATGTGAATGTGATGGAGTGCAGGTGATTTATAGAAGTATGTATAAAATCAGTATCTCCTACAGACCTCAGCAGTTAGTCTTTTTACTTTCTTGCTCTATCCACAGTTCAGATAAGGATCTAAGGGTTGTTTATTCCGTGCTCTACTTTTTGTGCTAAGTGTTATGAGTAACATTTGAGGTACTGGTCCATTAATGGACTAATTTGCTGAGAAGAATGTTAGCACAAAGTGATGTTGGAGATGTGCTTACAACCTTAGGCATGCCCCCTGAAATCTCTCATCCACCTACAAAAAGACTTAAATAAAGATATGGGCTTTGTAGGCAGATGAGTTACTTTTCTGAGAGAGTAATATGTAATTTGGGTGGACTGATGTCTGCCTCTGTATGTCTGCTGATTTATGTGCTTGTCTATAGAGCTAACTATTACTTGTTACTTTGGTTTGTGTTAAATACATGGTATTAGTAGTGGGTCAGAAAGGTGTGTTTGCCATGGTAAATTGTGGGCAGAATGTGAAGCTGTTTGTGAACTGTGTATTGCGGGAGTGAATGAACATGAGGTGGTATTGTATGTGCATCTGTCGTAGGGCTGGAAAATTCAAAAAGAGTAACATTTTTGTTATGTACTTTGATATTTTTTACTGTAAGACTAATTTAGGTGCCCACTTTTAAAAGACAGTCCAAATATAAGTGAATGTGTCTTAGGAGTGTATTACAGCTGTGTCAAAGATGACAGCAATTAGTGTGGTGTAGGTACAGCCTCTTAGTTTGCCCTTTATTTGGTACTCTGCCTTTGATTAGATAAGGTCTGTGGTTCTTGGGTAGTCAGTTGTGCACCTCTTCTCAGTAGGTGAGGTTTACAGATTCTTATTAAATTTCTGGAATGATGGAGTAGCTAATGGAGAGATGAATCTAGCCAGTTCTTGTCTATTCAGATATTTTATGTAATAACTTCAGTAGCCTGTGTGACAGAAGATTGGTATGTGTGCCATTTTCCAATTCCCATATCACAGAGGCCGAGATACCTGTTTTCTAGACGTTTTGTTGTCCTGGGTTTAGCAGCAGCTGTCAATTTTTTCTCCTTCTTAGTAGCTGGTGCAGCATTGAGTTTTGGCTTTCAGCCTGGGAATAGAGCTGATAACACCGATGTTTTTAGTTGTTACTAAGTCATGTTTACTCTGACCAAGGACTTGTGTGTCTCATGCTCTGCCAGGGAAGAGGGAGGCCAGGAGGAAGCTCAGACAGGACACCTGACCCAAGCTAGCCAAAGAGGTATTCCACACCACAGCACGTCATGCCCGGGGAGGTAACTGAGAGCTCCCTGGAAGGGCACGGGCTCTTTCTTGGGGTCAGACTCATTTCGGTGGGTGGTATTGTAGTCCCTTCCCTTGTTATTTTCTCTGTATCTGTCAGCCTATGCTTGTTTTCAGCAAGCTAGATGTTTATTAAAACAGGAACATTTTATGTTTAGCCTGTTAAGGTACTGCAGTAGAATAACCAAGCCTTGTACTTTTACTCAACAGCAGCAATGAGATGATGCTGCCATTAACTATAAAAGGATATTTGTTGATATTAAAAGAAAAAGAATTAATGCAGGGTTAGAAAGATCTTTGGTTGCTGATACTAGAAAATAAATTAAGCTCTTCCGTGAGGATATAAAATTATATGAAATACTGAATTACGGCCACTGGGTGGCATTGCAGATCAAACTATGACATACAAGCATATAACATTCGATGCACCAAATAATATGTTGTTATAATTATTTTACATATTTTCCAGTATTGTAAAGTTGTTTTGATGTATTCAGTAAACACTGAAAAATGGGGGATAGAGGGGATGTTCCTCACTAGTTTTCCTTTTTTTTTTTTTCAGTTCTGCTGTATCATGTTTGATGGCAGATAAGACTCCTCTATTTATTTAAAGTATAGTCCCTTGATAGTGTTCTTTATTCAGAGGAGCTTCTTTTTCTCAGTGCAGAGTAATAATTATAATAAGATCCACTTAGGTCAGAGATGTCTCACTCCTGTTGATTCTTATGAGTTCCTTTGCATTTAGTGCTTTTTCTTTTAGGTAAAGGTGACATGTGTGAAACTCTTTGCTTAATTATCTTTGAACTATTTTGAATCAAATTACTTTTTCAAGCATGAAACTGGAGGTAAATATAATTCTAGAAAAGTGGCATAATTTTCTTTGTACTAGTCTGAAATATCCCACCTAACCAGGGTTATTGAGAAATAATATTGAACGATGGGATATAATTTATACATTCTGTATATTTGGTCTCTTTTGGGGTATGACAGAGTATGAATCAATGTTCCGGGGTTTTAGTAGTGCAGATTTATCAACATTGAAGGAGACCATGCATCATTCTGTTGAATAGCTGTCATTAACTGCTGCTTGTTAATTGAGCCTCCAAAAAATGAAGAGCCCAGTGCTAGGCTCTTAAACAAACAACCCCTCCCCCAAAAAACACACCAAAACACCCCAAACAAAGCGCACAGAACAGCCCATACAACAAACCCTACCATAAACCTAACAACAGCAAAAATCAGCAAAAAAATTCTGACCAAACAAAAGCCAGGCAAAACTGTGTGACTGAATGAGGCGGTGATCTAAGTATTTTTTCTTTTCCATTTATATTAACTTCTCTTTTTCCTGAATTTGCTTTATTAAAAGTCTCTATTTCTTCTCTCTTTTGTCCTTTATTATTCTGCACTCAGCTCTGTTGGTTTTCTCCTCATTTTTCCAAGGACCATCAAGAAAACTTGAACCTGGAAGGCTGTAGAAAGAAGGAATGAACTTCATCCTAGTGTAAAATCTCCTATAAACTATTTGAGCACATGGTATGTGATAGCAGATGGCATTTGTGCACACATTTCACTTGATCACAGAATGGATTTCAATTAATTGAAGGTGGAATAGTTACTCTAACTAGTTCTCCTTGGCATAGAGCTATATATACAGGATACATTCTGCAAGCAATTGATAACCTTATTTAAAGTGTTTTATGACAGTGCAGTAGAGATTTGTTTGAGTTCCTGGTTTAAAATTGCCCATATATTGTATAGTTTCTGACTCCTGTTTCTGAAGAATTAATTCAATATTGCAATTGTGCAGTATTCCTAATCACTTGGTATTCTAGGTGTGTCAGCATTTCAGGCTGAAAAGCTCAAGGCCAAAAACTTTATTCATGGTTATAAAGCTCATCACATTACAATTAGCTAACCAGTAGTGTATTATTCCAATAGTTTTCTTGACAGGTTGTACACTTGCTTCAGGAAGCATCGAACTTGGAATGTTCACTATGTGTTTCAGTTGCAATTCTGACAGTAGCAACATGTCTAGGGGGTGAGGAGGGAGAAGTGGAGAAGAAAAGCCTTCTGAAGTAAGAGAGTTTTAGGTTATCTGTGTTAAAAAAGCTTTACATGCTTCCGCATGTGTGTTTAATTTCAGATCAGTTAATGTAACTATACAGGAAGTAGATGACATCTACTTGGTTTCACTGGAAACAGTTATCCTGGATTATATTTGATTTTGTCTTTAATTGTTTTCAGAATATTCACATCATCTTATGTCATGTTAGAAAATATATCTCTGTGATAAAGCTTGATTGTACGAACAGCTTTAAAAACATTTTCACAACAAACATATCCTTCTAATCTCTTTTACTGTAATGTAAATTTCTTTTAGTGTAATTTACTGTAAAATATTCTAATTATTTAAAGTAGACATTGTAATGGGTAGCAGTCTTTCCCACTATGTAAGGTGCATTTTCTTCTGGCTCCTTTGTGGATATTCTGGCTTGTTTTGAAGGGCCCTGGCTCTTCAAGGGAACAGCAATTTATTAATTGGAGGGATACAGAAATCCCTCCTGTGTGGTGAATGTGAATAATGATTTGAGCTGAGTGGAATTAATACTGTTGGCTTGCAAATATCAACAGTGATTAGGAGACTAATTGCTAATTATTTTGCATAGTGTGACTGGGTATTTTTATTAATCGGACAGTATAATCTTGCACAGTTTCCTGTAGTCACTTTTATGTTAATATTAATAGCCCATGTCCCTGATGGGGTCAGTTTTCACTGAGCCATCCAGTCACTGTCTGATGGATGGTTTTGTGACAGCTGTGCAGTGGCACTGATTGCACTGCAAAATGATCTGCTGTTGCTGTAATTGGTGTTCTGGCAGAGCAGAGGAAATTACTGGTTCTTCAGTAGGTTTTAAGTAGATGCTAAAGAGCGTAAGAGGTCTAAGATGGGGACTGCTACATAAAGTTGTGAATGACCCCTGATATGAGTGTGGATGGAAGTGAAATACTGGAAACAGCTTTGCTCTGGTTTTGAGCAGAAAAGAGAAGAAAGTGGAAGATAAAATAGGAGGAATTAAAGTAACTGTTGCTGTGAGAAGGATTAGCCTTGAGGTGCTTTCCCCATACTCTGGTTTTAAAGGCTAATCGTCATGGGCTGACAGTTTACTTAAAACTGTCTAAAGGATTTTCCTTGTGTGAAGTTCAAGATAAACTTCCTGCAAGGAAGCTAAGGATCCTGAGATGACTGTACGAGAGAGTGAACTGGAGTTCCAGTCTGTCTGAGACTATCTGCAAAAGGATGACTAGACTTCTACTGATGTCTTGGCTGAAATTTGATGATTTTTCTGTATTATTAGATGTTGCAACTACAGCTGCTTGATCTCTAGGTATGGAATAGGAAGAAAAAGCTGCATAGTTTAGATAAAAGCTTGGCTTGTCTTAGGTAAGACCAGTTCTGATTACTGGCAGCTGATGAGAGGTTTTCTATTTGGAAAAATCTTCCTCAAGTGGATGAGCACAGGTAGCATTTGTCTTGCCTTGAAGAAGGTACTGTAGTAGCGAACAGCCAGTGTTTCAGCTTCTTTCAGTTAGACAAAGCTTAGTTGGAAATTTTGGTGGCACTTTGGCTATTTCAGGGGTGGCTTCTGTGAGAAGCTGCCAGAAGCTTCCCCCATCTCCAATAGATCCAATGCCAGTCGGCTCCAAGATAGACCCAGCCCTGACCAAGGCCGAGCCCATCAGTGAAGGTGGTAGTGTCTCTGGGATAATACATTTAAGAAGGGAAAATGTTACTGCACAGGAGCAATTGCAGCTGGAGAGAGGAGAGTGAGAATATGTGTGAGAAACAGCTCTGCAGACAGCAAGGTCAGTGAAGGAGGAGGGCAAGAGGTGCTCCAGGCACCAGAACGGAGGTTCCCCTGCAGCCCATAGTGCAGATCGTGGTGAGGCAGGATGTGCCTCAGCAGCCCATGGAGGTCCCAAACCTGCACTGGAGCAGGCTTCTGGCGGGACCTGCAGCCCCATGGAGAGAGGAGCCTGGGCTGGAGCAGGTTTCTGGCATGAGCTGTGGCCACACAGGAGACCCACTCTGGAGCAGTTTGTGCCTGAAGGACTGCACCCATGGAAGGGACCCACGCTGGAGCAGTTCATGAACAACTGCAGCTTGTGGGAAGGACTCCATTTGGAGAAGTCAATAAAGAGCTTAAGGTTTTTTCCCACCCTGTTTTATGATTCTAACTGTTTTGTGTGGGAGAGGCTCCATACTGGAGCAGGAGAAGCGTGTGAGGAGTCCTCCCCTGGGAAAGAAGGAGCAGCAGAAATAACACGCGGTGAACTGATCACAATCCCTATTCCCTATTCCCTTTGTCACAGGTGGGGGAAGGAGGTAGAGTAAATCAGGAGTGAAGTTGAGCCTGGGCAGAAGGGAGGAGTTTGGGAAAGTGTTTGTAAAATTTGGTTTTACTTCTCTTTATCCTACCCTGATTTGATTGGTAATAAACTAAACTAATTTCCCCAAGTTTGGTATATTTTGCCCATGACGGTAACTGGTGAGTGATCTCTCTCTGTCCTTTTCTTGATACATGGATGTTTTGTTATATTTTCTCCCCCTTGTCCAGCTGAGGAAGGCAGTGACAGAGTGGCTTTGGTGGGCATCTGATGTCCAGCCAGGATGAGCCCACCACCATGGGCCACTAATGGTTATAGTTACTGGATGGTCTCAGTGAATAGCTGCACTGGCCTTCAGTGAGGATGACCTGCTTTCCAAGTTTATGGTGAAATTTTAAACTATGTATGCATAATGTATTTTTATTCAAATAAGCCAGACCCTATCGACAAAAGATGGAGGAATTATTCTTAAGTTATGTTTGAACTGTCAATTATTACATGATAAATGAATGTTTAAATAGTCTTTTTGTCTTTTTTTCTTGTTTTTGTTTTTACCTCCACCAGCTGTAGCAGAAGTGAAGCTTCGTGATGATCAATATACCCTTGACCACATGCGTGCTTTTGGCATGTATAATTATCTTCATCTTGATTCCTGGTACCAGGATAATGTCTACTATGTTGATCAGTTTGGAAGGATTATGAATCTGTCAGTGACTCTGGTAAGAATAAACTTTATTAAAAAATTACTGAATTTGAAAAAGTGGGACATAGGATAGAAAATATAGCAGTTAGGAGCTGAATGCAAAAACTGAGGGAAGCTACTGCCGAGAACAAGGTAGACTAACACAAGTGCTGTTCACCAGGAAGGATGAAAGGATTTAAAGTGAGGTGTCTGACACACTTTCCTTAATAGTATTGCATTAGTATTGCAGTAGTGCTTTCAGTCACCTGCTTCCAATCTGGGGAAGATAGACACAGTGACAAGTAGAAGAAAGAGTGGATACTTCTTTTCTAGTTGCTGACACTTCTTTTCTCCCCTATTCTACTTAATGTTTGTTTGCTAATGTGAAAATCCTGACATTGTAGATACAAGGAGAGAAAGAAGATATATGGATTAGAATTAGAAATCCGGGTCTTTATGGGCTAGTAGCTTACTCTTGGCATCACTTCTTGGAGGCAAAAAGATGCTGGTGGCCTTGAGCAAACCTGAAATAGTGCAAGCAAGCTAGCCACGTTTGGAAAAACATGACAGTTCTCTGCTTTTATGCCTATGTTCTTAAGTAGTAAAACTTTGTTTCTTTTGAGCCATTTTAATGCATTGATGCACTAGTTTGCGGTACAGAGCTGTTCTGCATTCTGGAGGTGAAAGGACACATTCTGGAGGTGATAGGCACCATATTTCTGGTACATGCAATTGTAGTACTTGGTCATTAAGGAATAAAAGACTGGAAAGGAAAATATCTACTATCATGCTACCAAAAAATTTGACTTGTAACCCTGCAGGACAAAAAACACAGGGAGATCTGTGATAGTTTGAGAGAGCATGGCTTACTCTGTGAAGGGTTCTGGTGTGGAAATTACTAGTCCAAGGCCAAGCTGAGAAAAATCCAGAAGTGGTAGTTCTGGATTTTTCAGGAAGTAGAGGTTTCCATAGGATGGTAGATGGGAAACTGAAGCTGCAGAACAGTTCCTTTACTTTTCATGGAATGTAGAAGCAGTTGGAGCCTTTGGCAGACTCTTGCTGAACAGAATAATCTTCTGGGATTTCTTCCAGATCTTTTGAGATACCTGGTTTCCCAGTAGGAACGTCTAAAAGAAAGAAGCTTGTAAAGAAGCTTGTCACAGCATCATTTTTTTGTGTGCTTTTTTTTGTGGTTGGTTAACCCTGCCTCACAACCAGACATGCACCCAGACACTCTCTGTGGTCTGTCTTCAACAAGACAATGAGAAGATAAAGCAGAAAAAAATTTGTGGATTGAGATAAAAGCAGGAAGATCACTTACCAGTTGCCATCACAGGCAAAACAGACTATACTTTGGGGAAATTAATTTAATCTATTGCCAAAAAAAACTTGGAGTAGGATGATGGGAAACAAAGTCACACAAAGCTCCTCTCAGGAGCTGGTCTTGGGCTTTCCATGGGCTGCAGGGGAATATCTGCCCCACTGTGGTCCTCTCGGGGTTGGAAGCAGCCATGCATACATAGCACAGGGCAGCCCTGGTCTCTTCTCACAGAGGTCACCTCTGCAGCTCGCCACTGCCACCACAACACAGACACCAAATTTATTCCATTACTAGGAGGGCACTAAAGTGTGCAGATTTCTTTCTTAGCATATAAAGGATTTTACTAGATAAAGGATTTTAAAACAGTAATTTGCATTTTTATGTGCAGCAAATTGAAATAATAAATATTCTTCCCTAGGACTAGTGGGGCTATTGTAGTCTTCAGGAAGGTGGCACCTGGTTAATACCTAGTCACGAGTTTCAGTTCCACCCTACTGTGAAATAAATAGCTGCCATCCTGTGTCCTAATGCACAATGCAGACTGTTTTGCAAGGAGATGTGTTTGCATATGCATAAAAAGGAGTGTGTTTTCAGAAACATGAACAAGGTGTCTCATTACAAATGTGCCTGGCCATATATTAGGCAAATGTGTATTACGAATAATAATACTGTTTTCAGCCAAGAATAACTTACAAGTTAGCAATGGCCACAGTTAAAATTAATGTCACTCATCTTTATAACAGAAGGTGTAACAGTTTAACATGCTTATCGTAAATTCAAAGTGAAAGAACACATAGGCTTTTTAACACATACTTATTTCTAGCTCTACTTCCTATTTTGGTTGCAAGTTTGATTCTGATATGGCAGTGTGTTAGTTGTCCATAAATCATGACTTATCCCTGCAACTTAGGTGTTTCAAAAGATGTTTTCTGTGAAGGCAAAAAGCATAGGTACCTTGTCACTTGGGAGTGAAAAATAGTTAAACAAAGAACCTCTGTGGAGAAGTGAAGGGAGTTGGAGAACTGGATTGACAAGAAGATGCATCTAGTTTCTTCTTAAAGAAACTGTGTTGCTCTCATTTAAACATAATTACAGTGAGGAAACCTGACTTCTGGTGAAATGACTACAGTTCTTTTAGCCAGTTCTTGCTAGTGTAATGCATGACTGTAGTATCTTGGCATCCCCTCATATAGTAAGGGGTTACTACTGACCGTTGTTAACCAGCTGGTGCACAGAGAAACAGTAAGTCAAAAAGCAAATCTGATACAGAAGGGTTTTGAGCGCAGGTTGTGTTCCTGGTTCAAGACAGTTCATCCTTCATCCTTTTTGTTGTCAAACTGAGGTAAGAGACTGTTCTAATAAATGCCTGAAGTGAAATTAGTGATCAGGAACATTGTAAAAAAAGCATTTCCTTTCTTGCTTATTGAGAGGGAGACTCTGTAATGTGTAATGAAGATCATTTTTCACTTTTTTTCAGGAGATATATTGAGTCTTGACATTCCTGCTTAGTACTGATAAATCTAATGTGAGCTTTAGAAGAGTAAATGGTTGATGCTTGATTTTTAATTACATACAAAGCTATTTGAAGCTTACTATTAAGATTCACTTGAAAGCTGGTAGAAGTGTGTTCTTCTCTAATGCTACAGAGTATAGCCCTGTAGATCATTGTTAAGAGGGATGGTGGTGCTTCTTTCCATGATCAGATGCATGAAATTTGTTACTATTTCTTTCCCTAGGCACCAAAGTCATTGCTAGTTACAATGGAGCACTTATTGTAGAGAACACTTCCTTTCAATGAAACCTTAATTGTGGGATTTTTGTTTGGTTTGTGTTTTGGGCTTGTTGTTGGGTTAGGATTTTTTTGATTGGTTGGTTTGTTGGGGTGTGTTTCTTCAATTCTTTCATTCTGGCTTCCTGTATGTGTTATAAATTAGTGGAATAGTTCAAGGAGCACAGTGATTCAACCAAATCTGCAGAGTGACCCTGAATGTTTTCAATAATTAAAAATCAAATCTGCATCTTTTCCATTGCAGGTTTCATAACAGCCCTTGTGCCTTTTTGGAGTATACAGTAACCCTCTAATACGAATTCAAGTAGGCCCAAATGGCAAGCAGGCTATCTGCTTGTCATCTGCTCATTCTTGCTCTTGGTTATTAAAATGGTACTTAGCCAAATCCAATTCCTCTTGCTTACATTTGAACATGTTTTAAATGCATATGATTTTAATAACATCTGGAAAATATTAAGGATTTAAAATCCGCTCAGATACAGGATTCTCAACAAATGAGGTCCTGGCATGCTCTGCAAGCACAAGTGTGCTCTTTTTGCGAAGCATATGTGTGTGCTGAAGTGCTAAGAACTCTTTTAAAGGTGGTGTTTTATATGTATATTTTTGCTTTATTTCATAAATCAGACTTGAGTTTCTTTTTCTGGAAGTAGGTATTGTGTAGAGATGATTTCCTACCCCCAACCTGTTCACTGACCAAGTGAAAATGGAAGGACAGGAGATGCTTAAAAATACTGTAATTATTTGCAGCTGAAATTCCAGGGCCTGTGATGAGTTGCTGGTTTAATCTGGTATTTTTTCACTGCTATTTCTTAGTCTCATGCCCACCCTTACTGTAGTAAGAGAGTGCATTTTGTGTGGCATAGAGTAGATGAATTCTTGTCTCCCCCATCCCAGTTTTCAATACAATAATGTGCTTCTGTTAGTGCTTCTTTTAAACATGTTTGTAAAGTATCTTCCTTCAAATCTGTTCCTGTAATATTTTTCCTTCACATGCTGTTTTTCTGTTTTAGAGATCTATTTCAACTTAAATATCTTTCAGTTTTAGTGACACTAATGCTGTTTTTTAGTAACAAGGGAAGAATTTCCTCATTTTAAAGCAAGAGTTTTCTGGTTTGTGGGCCTTTAAAATAATTGTAGGTCAACTGAGTGGAAATTAACCTAGTAAAATAAAACTAAAAACAGTTTGGCTCTATGACCATTAGTTATGTTCTCAACATAGTCTATTAAGAAGGTAGATTAGGTTTAAAAAGGGAAATGTTGACCTGTAAAGGCCAGTCAGGCACTTTTTTTCCAGATATGACTGTTCAGATATATGCTTGTTCAAATATATGGAGGTATGGTAGTCTGCAAAATATCTGCCAAAACCTGTTGAAGCTAATTTTGTTTCATTTATTATATATGTGTATATAAATAAAACTAGCTGCATGATGAGGGGAAAGGACCATGACATCAGGAGAAAGACAACAGAAATTAGTTTTGTTTGTTATTACTGGAAGACCTTTTTGGAGACCTGAGATCAGATTCTGAAGTCTATGAATCAGTATAAAGGGCAAGGTAGTGGTTTTTTTTGTTTGTTTGAATTATGTTGTTAGTGTCCACTATATATTTTAGTGGCATTGAACAGCCCAGGTTCAAAGGGATCACAAAAGAGAATAGGTTACAGCCTTTCATGGGAAGTCTGGATGAGGTTATCTACTACCTTAGGCCTCCAGTGATGGGGACTCTGCCATGTACTTGGGGAGGCTGTTCCAGTCATTGGTGGGTCTCACTGTAGAAATTCTGCTGAGTTGAAACCTCTCCTGGTGCAACTTTTACCCATTAACCCTTGTGTTCTCTGTGACTCGTGAAGGGAATGCCTCAGTCCTCTTTGTAGCCACTGTTTAAGTACTGGACTACTGTCATGAGGTCCCCCCTGAGTCTTCCCCAGGGAGACAATACGTACGTCCTCCGATCTTGCCTCACAGGGCGGGTTCTCCAGCCCTTTGACTGTCTTCATGACCTTTCTTTGCACCCTTTCCAGTCTGTGTCTGTTTTCAGTTGTGGGGACCTGAACTAGATACCGTACTCCAGGTGTGGCCTGACAAGCACTGACCAGAGTGGGATGATCATGTCTCTGTCTCTGCTGTTAATGCCCCTGCACATGCAGGTTCAGACCCGATTTAGAATCATGTAATAGAACGGTTAGGGTTGGAAAGGATCTTAAGGTCATCAAGTTCCAACCCCACTGCCATGGGAAGGGACATCTCACACTAAACCATACCACACAAGGCTTCGTCCAACCTGGCCTTGAACACCGCCAGGGATGGAGCATTCACAACCTTCCTGAGCAACCCATTTCAGTGCCTCAGCATCCTAATAGGAAATAATTTCTTCCTTATAGCCAATCTAAACTTCCCCTGTTTAAGTTTGAACCCATTACCCCTTGTCCTGTCACTACAGTCCCTAATGAACAGTCCCTCCCCAGCATCATTATAGCACCCCTTCAGATACTGGATGGCTGCTATGAGGTCTCCATGCAGCCTTCTCTTCTCCAGGCTGAACAGCCCCAACTTTCTCAGTCTGTCTTCATATGGGAGGTGCTCCAGTCCCCAGATCACCCCTGTGGCCCTCCTCTGGACTTTTCCCTTTTTATGCTGAGGACACCGAAACTGCACACAGTACTCCAAGTGAGGTCTCACAAGAGCAGAATGAAGGGGCAGGATCACCTCCTTTGACCTGCTGGTCACGCTCCTTTTGATGTAGCCCATGATACAGTTGGCTTTCTGGGCTGCAAGCGCACACTGCTGGCTCATGTTCATTTTCTCATCGACCAGCACCCCCAAGTCCTTCTCCGCAGGGCTGCTCTGAATCTCTTCTCTGCCCAGTCTGTAGCTGTGCCTGGGATTGCTCCGACCCAGGTGTAGGACCTTGCACTTGGCATGGTTAAACTTCATAAGGTTGGCATCAGCCCAGCTCACAAGCGTGTCAAGGTCCCTCTGGATGACGTTCCTTCCCTCCAGTGTATCAACCGAACCACACAGCTTGGTGTCATTGGCAAACTTGCTGAGGGCGCACTCAATCCCACTGTCCATGTCAGTGACAAAGATGTTGAACAAGACCAGTCCCAACCCCTGAGCAACACCACTCGTTACTGGTCTCCAGCTGGACAGTGAGCCATTGACCCCAACTCTTTGTGTGCGGCCATCCAGCCAGTTCTTTATCCACCGAGTGGTCCATTCATCAAATTGATGTCTCTCCAATTTAGAGACAAGGATGTTGTGTGGAACAGTGTTGGAACGCTTTGCACAATCCAGGTAGATGACATCAACTGCTCTACCCCTGTCCATCAGTTCTGTAGCCCCACCATAGAAGGCCACCAAATTGGTCAGGCAGGATTTCCCCTTAGTGAAGCCATGCTGGCTGTCACCAAGCACCTTGTTGATTTTCACGTGCCTTCCATTAGAATCTGCTCCAAGATTTGCCAGGCACAGAGGTGAGACTGACTGGTCTGTAGTTGCCCAGATCATCCATTTTCCCCTTCTTGAAAATGGGGGTTATATTTCCCTTTTTCCAGTCATCGGGAACTTTACCTGACTGCCATGATCTTTCAAATATGATGGCCAGTGGCTTAGCAACTTTGCCCTTGTTGCTACACCAGTGCACTGCTTGCTCATGTTCAGCTTGCTGTCCACCAGGACACCCCAGTCCCTTTTAGCAAGGCTGCTCCGCAGCCACACAGATCCTGGCTGGCTCTGGGCTCTTTGGTTATTCTGTACCAGGTGCAGGACCTTGCCTTTCTTTATCTTCACAATGTTCTTGCTTCTCCACTCTTCCAGGCTGTTTGTGTCTCTCTGCAAGACATGTCTGTCCATTTCATCACCTAGTTTGCTGTCATCAGCAAATATGGTGAGGGTGCTTTCAGTTTCCTCATCCAGGTAATTTATGAGGATGTTGAACAGGATGGGGCTTTGAATGAATCTGTGGGGGACCCCTCTTGTGACAGACTGTGAGCCCATTTTATTTAGTAGCTGCTTAGTTCAGTTGAAAAACTTCAAGCAATTAAGTTCTGTTTCAGCTATTTGAAAGATTATAGAGGTGTGACTGATGTTGCTGAATCTGCAGTCTGTGTCTTGTGTTTTTCTGTAAGAATATTTTGTTTGTACTCTTAATACTGCACCCTGGTCTACTTTATAAGTAAATCAAGCCGAATTGTTGGTAAAGCATGTACTGACCACTTTGTAAACCGCAGTACCGAGTTCTTTACGAATCATAAATATTTGTTTGGGGTTTTTTTCTAACAAGCCTTTTGGACTTTCAGAGATTACTTTAACTCACAAAAGGCAGGTAAATTGCAGTCCTGTGCAGGCAGTGGCATTGCTGGCATTCTGCAAGCCAAATAATAAGCAGAGAGTTACAAAGCCTTAAGCAACAAAGAAGGGATGTGAGAGTGAAGGCAGAAGATAAAGAATAATCCCTAAAATATGTCCTGGAAGACTTGCCTTTGTACTTAATGACAACAGCTGGAAATCTAATTTACAGCACAAAAGCAGTTTCTTCTGCTAGAATTATCAGGAAATGAAGAAGGCAACACAGAAATAAAGCAGGACTTCTGAGAACAATTACTGGTGGTATAGATTACATTAGTAATTTTGCACTATTATGCAATCAGGCTGATTTGTGTAAAGTTTATATTGCAGGAAATACTGGATTTATTTTTATGTTTTGTTGTGGACTTTTTTCCCTTTATGAAAAGAAAAAAGTCATATTATGTATTATTTTTCTTGTCATCTGCTGTAGTCTCTCTCTTCATGCTCAAAAACAATCCATGCTTGCAGTTTAGCTTAAAAAATAAGATTGCAGTGTGCCACTGTAGAATCACAGGACCTTTTAGATTGGAAAAGACCTTTAATGTTGAGTCCAACCGTTACCCCAGCACTGGCAAGTTCACCACTAAACCGTGTCTCAGAGCACCACATCTACAGGTCTTTTAAATACCCCCAAGGATGGTGACTTCACCACTTCCTTGGCACCCTGTTCCCATGCTCAGTAACCTTTTTGGTGAAGAAATTTTTCCTGACATCTAATCTAAAACTCCCCTGGTGCAACTTGAGGCCATTTCCTCTTGTACTATTGCTTGTTACTTGGGAGAAAAGACTGACACCCACCTTGCTCCAATCTCCTTCCACATAGAGAGTGAGAAGGTCTCCCTTGAGCCTCCTTTTCTCCAGGCTAAACAACCCTAGTTCCCGCCATTGCTCCCCCTTTAGACTTTTGCTCCAGACCCTTCACCAGCTTCTTTGCCCTTCTTTGGATGTGCTCTGGCACCTCAGTGTCTCTCTTGCATTGAGGGGCCCAAAACTTAACACAGTATTCCAGGTGTGGCTTCACCAGTGCTGAGTACAGGGGGGTGATCACTTCCCTGGCCCTGCTATTTCTGATACAAGCCAGGATGCCGCTGTCCTTCTTGCCCACCTGGGCACAAGCTGGCTCATGTTCTGCTCTGTCAGTCAGCACCCCCAGATCCTTTTCTGCCAAACAGCTTTCCAGCCACTCTTCCCCAGGCCTGTAGCATTGCATGGGACTGTTGTGACCTAAATGCAGAACCTGGCACTGAGTATTGTTGAACCTCATACCATTGGCCATAGACCGTTGATCCATCCTGTCCAGATCTGTCTCCAGAGCCTTCCTGCCCTCCAGCAGAACAACAGTTCCACCCAACTTGGTGTTTGCGAACTTACTGAGAGTGCACTTGATCCCCTCTTCCAGATCATTGATAAAGCTGTTAAGCAGATCTGTCCCCAGTACTGTTCCCCTGGAGAATACCCCTTGTGACTGGCTTCTGGCTGTATTTAACTCCATAGGATAATCATCATGTGATGGAAAAATTATTTGCAAATATGATATGAATTAGTACAGCTTTGTTAGCTAATCATAGTTAATAAAATGACTTAATAAAATGTCTGCTCTAGGAAAGCTGAGAAATGATATATCAGCTTGATATTCTGCATAACAGAATAGGCTAGAATTCCTTTTAATTCAGAAATGAGTTTTTATGAACTTGAATACAGTTCTGTGGCTGTCATTTCTTTTAAAGTCTCCACATTTTTACTGGGACTAGAATTATTTGAGGTAGGTGATTATCTGTAATGCTAGGGGAAAAGTAGTGAAAATCCTTTTTAAGTAACTAGTGCTGTAAAATGGAAAGAAAAATATGAATGCTGAAGTATCAGTTATAGAACACTTGTGTTTTCAGTAAATAGAAATCAATAACAAAATCCCACTACCTTTCCGACATACGTGGGAATGATGCTCGCTACCCCCTTTTTCCAAATATACTCAACTGCACAAAGAAACTGGCGAGTTGCTACTGAGATTTGTTATTCTTAATTTGACTGTAATAGTTATTGAAGTTGATAAATGCTTCATAAAGTCTTAGCAGGTGACTGTTCCCTTACAGGACACTGCTCTACAAAAACCGAGAGAAGTTTTCCGGCTACCTACAGATCTGACAGCTTATGATAATCGCCTTTGTGCCTCAATACACTTCTCATCTTACACATGGGTTACCCTTTCTGATGGTACAGGAAGACTGTATTTAATTAAATCAGGCAAGCGTGGAAACAGTACATCTGAAAAGTGGGAGGTGAGTCTTGCAATAGCATATTTAAGAATTGTACACCTTCCAAATTATTCTTACTCTTGCATTTCTGATGAGAATTGCATGTATGTAATGTGAAGAATTAAGCTTTAAATCATAACTATCACTGATACAGGATTGTGTTCAGTGAATAATGACAGAATGAGTTTTTTATGCACAAAGTAGCTAAAACGCAAGTTTTGGAAAGGGAACATTTTGACTGAATGAAAAAATCTAACTAAAAGCGTCTCTGCATAGGTGGCTAAGTGATTGTCTAGTTGGAACTTTTTCTAAACACTGTTTCTTCTTTCCCTTACCCATTTATATGCCTGTTTAGGATTCTACCCCCCCTATTTTTTATTGTTTGCTATTTCAACTGACCTGTGGAATAATATACAATGTTTTAAAAGTCTGAAATTATTATCAACCAGGCTAAAAGCAATGTTCATTTTTAAGCTAAGAGATTTCTGGTTTATGCACTTAGCTCTGGAAAATTATTGGTACTTAATATTTTTACTTAAAATTGTTTTTCAAGTTGTTAAAATTGCATCTGATTTCTTATGATTAAATTCTTTACATAATTAATTACTTGAAAGAGTCTTGAGAAGAGGTGATTTTGTGATCTTCCTACACTGATAATGATATTGGTTGTTCTGCCTGAACACAGCAAGTGTAATTTAAGTTACATTTCTGTCTGAGCTCCTATGACTCTCGTGGTATGTGGTTAGTTCCTATTTATTCATGAAAGATGAACCTGGTATAAATCTGGCACATTTCACATCTATTTTCTCTGTTAGAGGGCAGCTTCTGAAATAGTCAAGGAGGTTTTAATACTGGCAGGAACTCGGATATATGTCCTGAAGTAGAAGATTTCAGCATGATGGATTAGCTCTTTCTACACCTTTTGAGAGTTGAGTAACTAGGAAATTAGTCACCCTGTTCTTTAGATGGTTGGTAATAAATACCAACTGTTTTTTATACTGTTCTATGAGAATGCTAGTGCATACATAAGTGACATTGGACTTCCCAGTGCTAACAAAACCATGAGATTTATATGTTGAGGTTCTGTCACCCTTAAAATTAACTTTTTGAGTATGTCTAGCACCCAGTGGTTTAGGGTGATGTTAGCATCCCAACCCCATAAATCCTCAGACCTTATTGACTGGTTTCAGTAACAACAGCTGGATTGAGCCTGTAATTGTTCAGCCACTGCAGTTTGAATTCAGAGAATCATATAATCAACTAGGTTGATTCCTTGTCATTTCTTTCTTTTGTTTCGTGTGCCAATGTTTTGTTTCTTCTTCTTTGCTGTTTGGATTAATTTCATTTTTATGTTCTTGGGGGTTTTGATGAATAAGTACTGGTTTTGAGAAAGGCTGAAATACATAGTTTCTAGAATTAAAACTTTTAGCTAGAGGTACCAATTGCTGAATGTCTCAAACTACAAGATGTGCAGTCCTCTTCTGTGATTTTTTTTTTAATGTTTACAGTGGTGTTTATTAACCTTTCAATATGACATATTTATGTACTCTGCCCACCTAGTCCCATCTAAATACTGGATGGACTTTTTCAAATGGTATACATAAAAAATTAAAAACTTACAACCCTAGCTTCTCCTGTGCATTAGTATTATACGCCTTCATTTCATTATAGGCTTTTGTTTCTTACTCCCCTTCAACTTTATAGAGAAGGAAAACTGAATCTCTTTGTAAAGATAATAGCCAAATAAAGAGAACCCTTGTTCCCTCAGTAGTGGTTGATGGTTAAACACTGGCAGCCAATGCACTGGACCTTTTTATCTTCTTGTTTGCCCATGTCAAGGTCTATAGAAATTTTCAGGATGTTGGGGGCCTAGAGAAGGGGTGAGGGCCTTGGTGACATGCTTACATCTTCAATGTGAGACTGTTTCCCCCAGTTGATATGCTGTGTTTATGGATCCTGCTCTGTCAGTTGTATCTCTACTTATGTAGTAGACAGCCATAATGCAGGCGTTTTCTTTATGCTTTGTTTAATGACCCATATAATGATTTTCTGATAGAAGCAATAATGACCTCTCTGCCAGTGTGGTTTGTGGGAAGTAAGGTTTAACTGGCTTGACGTTCACTGGAGCCTTTCACTGCTTTCTGAGAAAGAGCAAAACTTCCAGTTTTAACCAACTGACTTTATACTACACTTTTGTCTTCTAGATTGTGTTTAATGAAGAACTAGGAAGTCCATTTACTATAGTACACAGTGTTTCATTTGTAAAATCTGATACTCATTCAGTAGCTGTGCTGCTGCTTAGGGTAGAAAAAGATGAATTGGACACAAAAGGAAGTGGATTTCATATTACCTTGGAATGGGTTACAATTGCAGAGAGAAGCAAAGAGGGTAAGTCTTTTACATTTATATTACTGGCGACTAATGTTTTTAAAAAAAATAAATCATGCTTTTAGTTTTTGTCGTAGAAGTCTAAGAAAAAACAGAAAAAGCTAAATGCTTAGCTTCCTTCTGACCTTCTTCACGGGAAAAATCATGTACTGTGAACTTACCCAAAAGATGACAAAGACTGACTTAAAAAAATTGGAAGTGTTGGAGGTTGTTTGAAAATACTCCACAAGAGGTTTGGTCACACAATGGCAAGTTGAGAGGTTGTGATGCCTTTTAGCAAGTGAGCATGTGCTGTAAGAGAGACACAAACAATTTTGATGTGGTTCAGCGCACAGTTAAATTCAGTCAAATAACAGCTCGTACAATGAGTGGCTAACTTCCCACTACAACAAAGACATGTTCTCTTTTGTCATATATCTAAGACAAAGTAATTTGTTAATCTTTTAAAGCAGGTTACTCTGTCGCTTGCAGTCTCCTGGTTGTGTAGATCTCTTACTAATTGGATGGTTGAATCTCTTTAATTAATGCGCCCGCCCTGCCCTAACATTTTAGGAGAAGGAAGGGGGCTCTAACACCATTAAGTACCAGAATTATGTTATAGTTTGGTTGTTACTCTCTACCCCACTTGCTTAGCAAACGAGATAACCAACTGAGAAGACGTAAGTTACATCTGGCTTATCCATTATTATCTGTATTCTATGACTTCCATGTTTCTCTTAAACTTAACATTGAGGTCAAACAGGAACATATTTTTGAGTGCTGGTGTCATACATGATTTCTATCATCATAATCTGGTCTTGTCTTAGTGAGTTAGAAGTTCAAGTAAAATTGTATTTACAAGTGCAGTGATTTATTTTTTTTTTTTAGTGAAGAGATGAAGCATACATATGAAAAACTAAATAATTCCTAGGGATAACTTTATCACTTGTGGGAATTTAATGAAGTTGTTTTTTGCTAAAAATCCATTTGTGCCATCTGGTTATTATTCAGAAGTTGATCAATTACTGAGGACTCTGTGGGTAGTAGGAGTCTAATGGAAAAAGAACAAACATTGTGCTGGAACCTGCCCTCTTCATGATGTTTTGAGTCATCAGTACTCATGAGCTTTGGAATGGCATGGTCCTTGATGCCAGTAGCTAACACCTGGGACCTTTTAAAGGTCAGTGTTTTGCTAAAGTTGAAAAAGATGGGCATGGGCATTTTCCATTATGAATAAAGTGTTATCACTAGCTATTTCACTTCTGTTCAGGTTCTGACAGCAGCACAGAAAGTATCACTGAATGGTTTGGGTTGGAAGGGGTCTTAAAGCTCATCTAGTTCCAACACCCTGCCGCTAGTGGGGACACCTTCCAGCAGAGCAGTTTGCTCAAGGCCTTGTCCAGCCTGGCCTTGAGCACTACCAGGGATGGGGCAGCCACAGCTTCTGTGGGTAACCTGTGCCAGGGCCTCACAGTGAAGAATGGAACAAAACAAGTACTTGGAAAACTTGTTTGTGCAGAGGCTGTGAGTGGTTTTGTTAATTGCTGGTTTTAGCTGTGATTAGCAAAGTCCTCATAAGAAAAAGGGACAATGTTTTGTTCTTTTAGGTTAGTTAGATTAATTTTGGGGTCTACATATTTAACAAACTCATTGGAAAACAGAAGATAAATTCTTTTTAAACTACAGTACTGTGAATTAATTGGTTTGGTAGGTATATTTCAGTATAATGAGATTCTTGTATAATAATTGCCATCTAGAAAAATATTACCAGTAAGATATTTTTTTAATTTATTTTATAGGTGATCACAGGTATGAAATCTTGAAAAGGCGAGTTTTGCAAGGAAAATCAGTCCCCCATTATGCAGCAGTAGAGCCAAGCGGGGATGGTTTAATGATTGTTTCCTACAAACCATTCAAATTTATGCAAGGTGAAGACAACAAATCAGAAGAAAATGATGATGCAGAAGCAACAAAGGAAAAGAAAGGTAAGACTTACCTGGCAGATTGTGATAGGCTGCTCTGTCTCTTGGGTTAGATTCCCTTCCCCCCTAAAAGAAACCCAACAAAACCAAAAGCTAAGCAAACAAACAGAAAACTTGAAACAGAACAAAAGAAAAACTCAAACCTTTTTAAAGAATGAGAATCCTGTAAAAGATTCTTTTCTCCAGTGAAAAAGCAGTTCAGGAAAAAAAAGTAAACTTCAACAAAAATTATCAATGCTTTTTCTCCTTTAAGATCATTATTAATAAAGTTGGTTTATCATAATTGTCACTGAGCTCTGTAATATGTATATTTATGTAGCTCTGTCATTTCTGATTTGATTTTGCTTCTGAATCATGGAATTATAGAATAGTTAGGGTTGGAAAGGATCTTAAGATCACCAAGTTCCAACCCCCCTGCCGTGGGCAGGGACACCTCGCTCTAAACCGTATCACCCAAGGCCTCATCCAACCTGGCCTTGAACACTGCCAGGGATGGAGCATTCACAACGTCCCTGGGCAACCTATTCCAGTGCCTCACCACCCTAACAGGAAAGAATTTCATCCTTATATCCAATCTACACTTCCCCTGTTTAAGTTTTAACCCATTACCCCTTGTCCTATCACTACAGTACCTAATGAAGAGTCCATCCCCAGCATCCCTATATGCCCCCTTCAGATACTGGAAGGCATTAGTTAATGAGCTGATCCTAACTGAATGATACTGGCACAATCTTTGTCCATGGTGCAAAAATCTGTTTGGAAACAATATAAAAAGATCTATTTTCTGGAATGTATAAATATTGCATGGTGTGACAACTGTGACATTGTACATGTAATAGGAATAGTCTGTAGGTATAAATCTTGAGGCAAAGGAGTTCTTCAGTGCACTGAGGACCATAATGCAGTGCCTCTGCTGTTGTTACCTGAATTAGTTAGCTCACTGTTTTAAGGATTTTAAGGGCTTGATTTGTGTGCTAGGTATGATTAAAGAAACACAGTAAAGACCTCTGTATGGCTCTTACACATGCATGAAATGAGCTGTGCTGTGCACATACAGTGTTGCTAAAGCCCAGATCCCTGTAACATGTGGAATACTGCTTGCAGCAATATCTGTAGAAAATTTCTTGTTGCACAGAAATCTAATGGTACAGAAAGAACTGAAACCTGAACTCCTAGTTCAGGGGGAAGTTTTAATACCTATTTAAGAGAGATGAGAAGCCTAAGCTACTTTTTAGGAGCATTTCAATTGTCTCATAAATCAAAACTTTTAGTATTTTATGTAATCTGTGTCAAAGTTTAGAATTTTGAAGGTTATTTTATCTCAGATACTAATTGTTTCTGGGAAGTATACTTGTAGCACCAGTGGCTGATCCCTTGCAAGCAGGAAATTTGTGGTAAGGGGCAGCAGTGTAAGAATCCTTCCAAGGTCAGAGTTGCTGATGCTGATCAGTGAAATCTTGTCACGTGGTAACTTGAGAGCATCCAAAGGGTCTATCCATACTTTAATTTTCTTCTAAATAGGAAGGAAACATGTACAAGATTGCTTTTTAGAAAATGAATGCGTCTTGTGTTTTCTGTGACCAACTGTGCACTACCCAGTTAATGCTGTCATCGCTTTCCTATTGTATAAATGTTTCTCTTAAAAGTCCTCTGCTTGTAGCAGTTTAATAATCAAGATAGATACCAGGTGGATTCTGTACTCAGGAGCAGAAGTCAGTTGTTACCTCTGGGCAGGCAATTTTATTTCAACTGAGGCAGATGAAGACTATTTGGTTTTCTAAAGTTATTTCTGTTGAATAGTCAGTGTACCTTCTGGCAAAATAGGTAAGAAAAAATGTCCACATTTTTGAATACAATATAATTCTGAGTGTGCAGTAGCTTGTCAGTACCACTGCACCTGGTATCTCTTCAAATTATTAACCATTAATGTTTCAATGTATTTTGAGTACATTTTGGTTATCAATTTTGTAATGCTACAATAAATTTAGAGTAATAGCTTATCGTATAGCATGTCAGCATGTTTGAGTGTAGACATGAATATAAAATGCTCTCCAGAAAAGGGACAGAAATTAACTCGATTGCTAAAAACCGTTTCTCCAATTGAAAGAATGTAACTCCCACAGGTTGAGATAAGAGCAGTCCAGTAACTAAGGTATAACACAAATCACTGCTGCTACCACCACTAATAATAATGATAAGGGAAATAACAAGGGAAGAGAATACATCCGTTCACCACCTGCCAACTGATACCCAGCCTGACCTGAGCAGTGATCTAACCCTTCCAGGTAACTGCCCCCAATTTATATACTGGGCATGACGTGCTGTGGTATGGAATACCTCTTCGGTTAGTTTTGGTCAGGTGTCCTGTCTCTGCTTCCCTCCATCCCTGGCAGAGCATGAGACTCAGAAAGTCCTTGGTCAGAGTAAACATTACTGAGCAGCAACTAAAAACATTGGTGTTATCAGCGCTGTTCCCAGGCTGAAAGTCAAAAACACAGCACTGCACCAGCTACTGAGGAGAAAAATGACTGCTACAGCGGAACCCGGGACAGTTGTTCAGAGTAAAAGTTAATTCCTACTCTTCACAAACTTGTATTTTGTATCTCCTAGTATTGCACACTGGAATCCAGGACAGCATTTGTAATCTAGTTTGTATTATTCTGCATCTTTCCGATTGCAGACCCTCTCTATTACTGGCAGCAGACCGAAGATGATGTTACAATAACAGTTCACATTCCTGAAGACATCACTAAGGATGACATAAAAGTACGCTTTTCCCCTGATAACATATGTGTTATACTGAAAGATCAGCCTCCCTTAATGGAAGGAAAACTGTATTCATCTGTGGACCATGAAAGCTGCACATGGATAATTAGAGAGAACAAAAGGTGTTGTATATGGGGTTTAGTCTTCCTATTGATAGCAAATGTCTGAAAGAATTAGAGGGATTAATATTAGTATATAGCTTGTGCTAATACTGTATACTAAAATATGACTTTTTGGTTGTTGAGTATTAGGTATCATAGTGCAAAATAGCTCAGCTGAGTAACTCTGGGTTTTTATTACTTAGTCAAGTGAGCAATATTGCATGAATATCAGGCTTCTGTTTTAATGGAAAAAATGTAATTACACATTTCAGTGTAATAAATTGCATTTGGTTCTTAATGTTGGTACTGCAGTACCACTTTAAATTTGTTGATTAAAAGAATAAAACTTGCTCCAAGTATCTTCTGTAGAAGTATGCTGCTTCTAATACCAGTGCAACTGCCTCAGAAACTTGATTCAGCATTCACTGAATAGTTATTGCTGTGACGTAGTAATTAATAACTTAGAAGGTTTTCCTTTTCTGTCAGGTAACAGACTGTCATTGTAGACCCTGTATCTAAAAAGTGAATATAATAAAACTAACTCTCATTTTTATAGCCATCTGTTGGTCTGATGCAGTAATTAAATGGAATTGCTGTATTGATGCACTGGGCTCTGTCTCTTTGTTTTCTGTTTAGTTACTTATTCCTAACGTTCATATCAGGTTCTCCTAAATTCATTGTTGGCTTGTTTTGCAGATTACAGAAATTGTATCTTCTGAGATATGATTTTAGATACACAGTGTAGATAATAAATTATTGTAGTATTTGATGCCTATAAAATACAAGTATTTTTGTCCTAGATCTTATATGAAGCTGGTTCACACTTAAGTAGCCCTATTAAGTAGTACTTAGGTTTCAAATAAACTGTTACTCTTTGAATAGATTTCTTTACAGGGCATCTCCTTGTAATATTTAAAATATTTTAATAAGACTGCTTCAGGGAAAACTACATTTACATCAAAAACTTTTAGGGACACTTGCATGAATACAGTGTCTTTATTCTTGGGCTTTTAGAAATCACGTGTCCTTGGTCTATTTTTCTTTAGAATATTTTCCATTAGAATAGTTTTTTTATAAAGTAAATACTAATGATTTTGTTATATGATTTTCATTATTAATTCAGTTTGGAGTGCTCAAATCTGTATTTAGAGCTTTTTGTTTATTAGTCTGAGAACTGGATGCAGTGTTTTCATTAGTACTCTTTGTCTTCTATTTACATTTTAGTTTGGAAATTTCTCTAATTAAGAAAAATGAGGGACCCCAGTGGCCAGAGCTGATAGTTGGTGACACAAGAGGGGAATTCATTATGGACTCTTCGCAATGCTCTGAAATATCTGAAAGCCTGATGCATCTTACCTCTGAAGTAATGGTAAGGAGTTGAAAATAAAACACTTGTAATTCTTGTACATTTGCATGTTGCCTTGATATCGTTATTTTGCACTTCATTAACATAGCTCATCAGTTCAGTTACTGTTCAGAATCCTAACTGCATTCATTTTAACTGAAGTTGTTAATGTAACGGCACTTGAGTTGTGAATATACTTTGAACAGCAGTATGCTCATGGGGGACTGAATTTAGCTTCCGTGAAAGTGTCTGTGCACCAGAACAAGGAAACCAGGGCAATCAAGAATGTTGATAGAGAGCTGACCCCCAAAATCTAGCCTCCAAAGAGACAGATACTTTGTTTTAAGTCTTGTGCATTAGCCTGCTGTATATGACATTTAATTTTTTCTGGTTTCTGCCATTTAAGGACATTTCTTTATTATCTGTTTCTTCATGTTTGTTTTCTTTGGATTTAAATTGTTTAGCAATTAAAAAAAAATTGTGGTGATCTCCCGCACTTTGTGAACTGAACTAAAATAAAAAGTTAATAATCAGCTGAAGTGGAGGAAGAAATGAGCATAGGAACTCAAGAACTCCCTGTCAGATGAATTGAGTCAGTGCCCTCTCTAATCTTCCCTTACACATTCTGTTAGGCTTCAGATTTCAGCTTATATTAGTTGTCTAGATGGTGTCTTTTTTTCCTGGACAAGAAGCAACATAAACTCATAGTTGATGAGGAAGTGTATATTTTGCCTTCTGTTAAATAAAGGTCCCTTTCTGTTATCAAGAAATTAGGTCTTGAAATAGATCACAAAGGTAACGTAGTTTGGTTGTTTTGAAAATTATCCAAGATGTCATTAGCAGAAGTAGGCTCTTTCTCTATGTAGTCATGTTCTTACTCTTTAATTAGTAGTAAAAGTCATGGGTTTTCCTTTCTTCAACGTGTGGAATGTGAAAAAATACGTGTGCTTCTTTCTTTGCATAAAAAGGTATTCATTTTAAATGATTATTAGCAAAGCTAAAAAGAGGTATGTATTTAGAGGTACCTACAAGATGACTTTTTTAATAGCATTTCCAATGGCAAGCTGAAAGAAGCTTACACTGATGTAAACTTAATAAACCATGTGTAGGTTTTCAGGATAGTATACTTTTGCTACTTACAGAAGGGAATTCATTGTCTACGTTTTAGTGGCATATGTGCCTTTCCTTGAACTGAAATTGATTTTTGTGTTACCTACTACTCATGCTGTCCTTCATAACAAAAATGGTTCTATTCATTTGTATTAAGTATGTAGTAGCTTGATCTTTAAGTATATGCAAATAATTCTTCATGTTCTATTGAACTTTTTTGTTATGAAAAGAGATTTTTATATATATATATTCAGTAGCTTGGATTTTCAGTGTATATTGTTGTCTTTTTGTTTCAGAATCCAAACCCTGAGAAGGAAAATCCACCTTGTAATGCTCAAGAATTAGAAGAATGCGATGCTTTTCTTGAAGATAGTGCAAGCTTGTGCAGATTTGATGGTGATACCTTGAAAATCACTCATGTAGTAAGTGCTGCAAATTATTACAGAAATACTTTAAAGCATTTTTTAATGATAAGCAAGTTGAATTCTGTTATTGGAACAAAATCCGTGAAACTCTTGGAACCACACAGTTTCCTTCCATAATGTAAAATCAAAGTAGCAACAGAAATTATGAAGCAATATGTGTTCTTCACTGTCATTTTAATGGAAAAACAAGGCTCTCTTTATTCTGTTTTAAAAATATATTTACTTTCACAAGTGAACCATTTGAAAACGCAAAGTTACATCAGAATAATTAAAAGGAAGGGGTCTTTTTCAGTGGCATAAAATTGTTATAGATTACTTAGTTTACATTTTTCTCAATAACTTTGCAGCTAGCCTGGTAGAAAGTTGACCCTTTTCATTAAGGAGGTAGAGTACAGATCATTTTGTGATACTTCTTTGTCAATTAATGGAAATAACAGATTGTAGGAAAAATGTTTCAATAGGAGGCTTAATGTGGGTTGTTAGCAAGTTAGGACTTGATCTGGTCCATTGACTAAATCAGGAAACAAAATAGTGATATGAAATCATCACAGGTTAAGTTGTCATCTTGGGGTTGTTAGGGGATTTTTTGAAGATGTCTCTACTAAGCTTGTAATGAACATTGGTGTTACAGATCATCACTACTTTGTGTCACACAAAGTGTAGGATAATGTCTTGTACAGAAAATGTGTTAGTTAAGCGGTAGGATTTTGAATTGGTTCAGAATTTCCTGTTTCCTCTGAAAAGCTCTGAAAGAAGTTTAAAGTTGGTGTCTTACAGATCTTGGTTTGTTCTTTTCCTTAAAAAATATGATTTTTTTTTTCTTTTGACAGTATGGATAAATATGTATATTTCTCTGTGTGTGCGTGTGTATACATATGTGTATATATGCCTGCATGTGCATCTGTGCTGCTAGAGAAATAAAGATTAATTTTAAAGGTTATCATGCTCCACCAAGGAAGTAGTATGTTTTATGGATACAGTGCAATAGGTAACATACAGCATAAAATAAAATCTGTAATTGGTAGGAGGACATTTTAAAGCAGCTCTCCTCAAATGGATTTTATCTGTCCAGTGACGCATGATAAGAAAACAAAAGGCAGCAAGCATAAGTAGGATCAAGAGGTTCAAACTGGATAGAAGGAAAAGCTTTTACACTATAATTGTAGCATGGATCAGGTTGCCTCATAAGACTGTGCAGCCTCTATCCCTGAGGTTTTGAAGACCAGTCTGAATAAAGTTCTGAATAGCTTAGCTTAAACTCCTGCATTTCCTTCCCTGGTGGCACTGCTGAAAACCAGGCATGATTACTTTGAATATTTTCCTAACTTTAGAAGTCAAGATCCTCTATCCTAGGAAGCCATTTCAACACAGGACACATTCTCATTTGTTTATGTAGTGGACATAATGTTTCCCTCAGTAATATCCCGAGAAACTTAATTGTGTCTGCTTGAAATATATTAGCTACCTGTAGTGTCTTGAGCTGTTGATCACTGGGATGCACATAATGTATTCAAACATTTTGTCAAGTAACAAACACGAAGCTGCTGATCATCTTACTTGGGCAGTATGTGGGAAAGAATCTGCTGTTTATCCTTTTAGTCAGTGTTTTGTGTTTCTTTGTTTTGTTTCAGATTAATCTTGGGAGCAACCAGTATCTTTTCTCAGTTGTTGTGGATCCCAAAGAAATGCCATGCTTCTGCCTGAGGCATGATGTTGATGCTCTTCTCTGGCAGCCCCACTCTGACCAACCAGAGAACATGTGGGAACACATTGCAACTTTTAATGCTTTAGGTAGGAAGTAAACTTCTGTGTCACACTCCTGTACCTGAAACTTTTCTACCTCAGTACTCCTAGTATGGCTTCTGTTGATATTTCACTTACATTTGAATGAAAGGTAATATGATTCTGTTGATAGTAGCATAGTAACTTAATTTTAAAATACTAGAACATAATAAATATTTGTGCCTTGGGAGGAAAATAAGCCTTTTCAGACCATATACAGGATGCAAGCACGGTACTGCAAAGTAAAAAAGGAATGTGCCTTGAATAAGTGAACTTGAGTTAAAGACTACAAAGCACAGTCATTATCTTAACTCTCACACAGCAATCATCAGGGAAGCAGCTGCAGTTCATTCATGACATGTCTAGATGGTAATGCTTATGCTTATGGTAATAAGATGTTTAAATAAGTGACCTTTAGATTTTTTGCTGTCTCCTTGTCCCAGGTGACAGATCTGAAGACTTGGGCATGATTGCTCACTGTTTCTTCTGTTGTAAGAGCTAGGAGCATCAAATGTTGCTGGCACATAGTATGTTCAAAAGAAGCTCAAAGAAATACTTAACATGTGCATTTAATTCATGGAACTCTGACAGAGAAAGTGGACATGGAACGTTTTCATGAATTTTAGGGAAATAAAAAAGTTATTGTGACAGGAAAAATCAGTCAAGAGTATAACTGTTCTAGCTGTGGTTCAAGAAGCCCCTAGCTCTTCTGAAATCACAGACTGCCAGAAAAGCAGTAAATGTGATTGTGAAGAATTATTGATGTATTCTTGCACTCAGGACTAAGAATTTGTTTTCACCCACTTGTTAGAGGCAGAATCCTAAAGGTCAGAAGCAGAAAGTACTTTGCAAAATACAGATGCAGAAGTAGGAATTGATCAAATAGAACGGTCTGTGTAGACCAGTATTATACCTATTGTGTATGAAACAGATAAATCAGTTTTCATGAAAATTAATCTGGTCTAGAATTTACGTCTGCTGTGGCAATTACAGTCTTCATGTTCTCTAAGTGTTCAATACTTCAATAATGCAATGAGTGTGACAATTTATTCCCTCCCTTCCCTAGATACATTTGTTTTATCACACCACACTTACTCTGGGTCCAGAATGAAAGGGAAGATACTGGCTGTTTTATAGAGCTCACAGAGGTTGTCATAACACATAACTGATTTTAACTGTTATTTTAACTTAAGATCAAATTAAACTGTAAGCATCTTAACAAATCCTCTAATGAGAGATTAATTTCACAATTTGTTCTTTGTTTACTCATTTCAGGTTTCATTATGGTGGGGGAAAAAAGTGATCCCAAAGATTAAGATTTTTTTTTTTTTTTCCCAGTTACTTTTAGTTTCAGGTTTCTGGGCTGATTCCATCTTCCTGTTTTAAGAATGTGTTTCTACTGTTTTGAAAATGACAGGAAGGAAATTATGGTATCTTTGAGCTTTTTGTAACTAAGGTGGCAAAAAACAACATTGCCCTCTACCTTTTTCTTCTTATTGTATTATTATTTTACAGTATTATATAGAAGTTTACACTTCTGTACTAATCTAGTTCACCTTTAAGTGCCAGAGGTGATGTAGATCATCACCTTGTTTCTCTACAGCCAAATTCAGAAGCAGTTTGAAAGAGCTATTAGTAAAAATTAGTATTTTCTAGATTAAAAGGCGAGTTTCCTAGTTTCTGGAAACCTACCATATTCACTGTATTGACCAAAGCAATGGTAGTAGCCCTGTTTCCTCCTCCTTCTGCTTGAACCTTTGGAATTAGCTTTAAACAAGCTATACAAAGATGATGAATGAAAAATCAGTATTTTAAATATTATTAATGAACATAAATCAAGAGCTTACCATTTTCTGTCTGTCAAATTCCATTTAAATACAAGTCCCCCGGCTCAAAAGCTTCTTTTACCTGCAATCCTACCTTAAATCCTGCTCTTACTGTTATTGCCAATGTTTAATGTGTGAATTAAATTAACGAACCCTACACTTGGAAAGTTTTTCTAGCTGTCCTAATATTTCCCACTACAGCAATCATGTCAATTGATAGTCTGCCTATATATTTACTAGTTGTTTTGTGGTGAAAACTGCGAAGCTGGCTTTGAACAGAGATGGTGTTTTGAGGACAGTAGCAAGCATTTGTAAATTTAGAAGTCAGATTAACATTATAGAAAACAAACAACCCAACCACAAAACAAGCAAAAAAGCCCCAAACCAAACAACAAGAAAAGAACAACCATAATAACCTCAAGGCTTGAAATGCATGTTGAAGTGTGATGATCCTGTTGTGGATTAGCCCAGGTGGACACCTAAGCACCACAGAGCTGCTTGCTCTTCCTATTCCCCTCTCTACCCACAGTGGGACACGAGAGAGAACAGGAAGAGCAAAAGCAAGAAACTCTTGGGTTGAGCTCTTTGGGTCAGCTGTCCTGGTTGTGTCCCCTCCCAACTTCTTCTGCATCCCCAGACTACTGGGGGCTGGCAGAGCTTCAAAAATAGCAATGGTGGCAATGTGCAGGCACTGCTCAGCAACAGCCAAAAAATCCTGTTGGATCAAAATTGTATTTTAGTCACAAATTCAAAACACAGTATCTTGAGGTCTGCTGTGAAGAAAGTTAACCGCATCCCAGCCAGCTCCAGTACAAGTACTTTCACCTTTACCTTCTGATAGTAAGTGAAGAGGGAGAGCCAAAAAAAAGTAAGCTTTGTCATGCATGCTGTTCTCAGAGATGCTGTCTTTCAGTGTTAACCATTGCCATGCATTGTTCAATGGAAGTTAAGCAGATAACCTTTCAGGAAGATTATCTTACCTGATCTAAAGTGATCAGGTAGAGCGCTTTACAAAGTTTGTCTCAAGTCTCTTTATGAAAGTGTGAAAGGAAATTGGTCTGAAATACATCTGTTTACTAATTGAGTTCTGTAATGACAGAGGCAAGGAATGATTTTCTTCTTAGTGAACATTAGCAAAGGTGACTGTGTTGAAAAGTACGCAGTTCTAAATTGAAGGAAGTTCCAAGTGCCTGTTCAAGATTAGGTAGGCTCAGAAATCTTAAACTGTAAATATAATTATAAACTGGGAGATGAGAGGAGAGAAGAGGGTTATTCTGCTTAGGCTAGTAATATTGGGTCACGTGTATCCATGCTTTATGATCCTTCTGAGAAAATCAAAGACCTTGAGAGGCTAGATGTGGGAGCAGTATCTAGCTGTACACACACATGCATTAGAAGCACCTGTTGGGAAGATGTATTGGTATTAAATTGGCCACTGCAGACCTCCAAAACCTATTGGCTTATTAAATAATGACATAGATCTCTCTCCTTTTTTTGTTTCTAACTGCATTATTATTTTTTAAGCTAAGCTTGATTTTTGTCTTAGCCAGTTAAAATGCTGGTGAAACTAATATATTACTGAGCTTTTCTACTTCCTTTTGGGCTATGCAGGTTACGTCCAAGCATCAAAGCAAGACAAGAAGTTCATGGCTTGTGCTCCAGATTATTCCTACGCTGCTCTCTGTGAGTGTTTACGACGAGTTTTCATCTATCGCCAGCCGACTCCTCTGGCCACAGTTCTGTACAACAGGAAGGAAGGAAGACAAGTCGGACAGGTTGCTAAGCAGCTAGTAACAACCCTGGAAGCCAATGATCCTATCTTAGGCTTTCAAGCTACAAGTGAGAGATTATTTGTTCTCACAACAAAAACCTTGTTTTTAATAAAGGTGAACTCTGGAAATTAATTTATTCAGTATATTCTGCTGCAGTTTGTGTTAATGATTTGTTAAAGAATTGGCAAGGTAAATGCTCTGAGAAGTTCAGAACTATCTGCTGAAGCTTAAAAAGGGGAATCAAAATTTTTCATTAAAATTTATCTGTAAGATAGAAAGTTTTTCAACTTGGCTGTCTCTGAAGTAAGCTTTTTCAGATCTATGGGAAGATGTCTTCTGCACTAACAGCTTTCTCAAAGCAGTTTTCAGAAGCTGCTACTGCATAGGTGGATAGATTTATGCATTATTTTTTCCAACTGTTTCCCATACTTGTGAATTTTGAGAATTCATTTCTGTTTTTAAATGCCACTGTTTACCTATGAAAAAAGTAGTCAGATAAAAAAGATAAAGCCTTTTGTTGCAAGCATACAATATACAAAGAAGTGTGTATCGTAAGGAAAAGAAATCCCAAATTCCAGTGCTGTTGTCCAAAAAAAAAATTATTTAATATTTCAATATTCAGTAGCATCAAGTGAAATGTAAATGGAATGAATGGAATATTATGTTTCTTATACAGGTAATTAATTCAAATGGAATCATTTTGTTGCATATGCAAATTTAGATTATTGACTTGGGACTTAACACTTGCAGTAAAATTTGTTCGTATTTCAGGAGACACTAGAATAGCTTTTAGTAGCTTTTTCCTGAAGCAAAGTAAGGGTCAGTGTGATTACCCATTGGTGGTATTAGTTTTATTTTAAATAGACATTGTCAATACAGTTAAACCAAAAACGGGTCAGTTGTGACGGCTCCACCCTGGGGTGTTTTGCATTCTTTTATTCATATTTTACTTACAACCCCATAGCAAAGAATGTCTCATATGTTGTGTACTGGCAGGAAAGCTGTTGTGATCTGTTGTACCAAAGTACTGAGACAGCCACAGATTACTGAGACAGACACAATTGTAACAGGTGGCCTAATGGTGCATCTCTTATTTCAGACCTCTGTAAAAATCTACTTGTGAGGAAAATAAGCGTTCCTTTTTTATGGACTTACAGTTTCTTAGTTGTGATTGTTTTGACTCTCCTGTAAATTCTCCAGACTTGTGTCAGTGAAATTATTAAATCATGTAGTGAGAACTGAAGAGGGAGACAAGCAGTTTCGACTTGCAGAAATGCCTCCAAATGCAGGAGCCTTTCAAGGAACCTGATTTTCCTCCTCCATGCAGCAGTATTGTATATCCAGTAGTGTCAAGTTTTTTATCTGCGTAAGTTAAAACAGACTTTGATTTGCAGACCTTCCCTTCTCATTCTGGTGTTTGGTGGTTGTTCTGATTTGTTTGTTTTTGTGTTTTGTTTTTTTTTTAACTGACTTGAAAATGTTTTTTAAAAAGGCTCAGTGAATGTATTACTGTTCCGTGTGTGGTTTGCATCTACATTGTCATTGTTGGGCAGTAATGTCAAACAAGGTGGTAGAGTTCATGCGGAGCTCCATCAAAAAAGGTTTTATATAGATGATTACTTTGCAACATAAAGTGCTTATAGATTTATATGAATATTACTTAGTAACCTGAGATTTAATCATTGGGAACACAGAGTTAGGAACACTGTGATATTTGGGGAATGCAGGAATAAAGGAGAAGGGGTTTTGTCACCTCAGGTCTATTGCAGGCAGCTTCAGTATAGATGAAGAATTTCAGCACTTCTTTCTCAAAATCTTATTGCTGTGGGTGATACCTGGAAACTTGTGCTGTGTCCTGCAAAAAGAGAAAACAAAGTCAAGTAAAATGGTTACCTCCTCAGAGGCAGAATTATGATATGGAATGACAACTCAAGGGAGTTCTTGTTTGCTCCTGGGAAAAACTGAACATGGGGAAGAAGTTCAGCCCTTTATCCCATATAACTCATCTATTGCAGTCATGGTGTTGTTGGAAAGGAAATGTCGGATAGTCTCTCTTCTATTTTGCTTTCTGTGAGAGTTAAGGTTATTGTATTAGTTAAAGGATTTGTTGCCTTGAGGAGCCTTGCATGCATGTTGCACAGCAAGCTACCAGAATGAAATGGATGCAAGCCACAGGGAGGCATTTCCTATCAGCATTTCCATTTCTGTGTACACTTAATTTTAATCCTTATTTGTTTAGTGTATTAATGTACGTTTATACAAAGTATGGAAGTGGATATTTAAAAGAGGTGGTTTTCTGAGAACCTTACTTCAATTTTTTATTTCTTGAAATCTTACATTTTAAGACCCAGTACTTCCTGAGAGGTCCCAATCACAGTCTGTTTACAGAATTTCTGTGAAAACTTTTGGCCTTTATAGACTTGCATTATTTATTTCTAATATTCTTTTTCAGTGTTTTCCTTGGCTGTGTATTTGGAATGTATCATGCATTTTCTTTACTAGTTTAAATAAATGGAAAAAAATGTTACCTTATTAATAAAGGGTTTTTTTAATTATTCCAAAGGATTCCTGTTCATTTCAAATATGTATCCTTCCTATGCTACTGAAACAAAATTGAAAAATAAAAATGAATCCCTTAAAATGGACTTGTGCAAAGCATTCAACACTGTCCCGCATGACATCCTTGTCTCTAAGTTAGAGACATCAATTTGATGAATGGACCACTCAATGGATAAAGAACTGGCTGGATGGCGCAAACGAGTTGGGGTCAATGGTCAGTGTCCGGCTGGAGACCAGTTACGAGTGGTGTCCCTCAGGGATCAGTGTTGGGACCGGTCTTGTTTAGCATCTTTGTCGCTGACATGGACAGTGGGATTGAGTGCGCCCTCAGCAAGTTTGCCGATGACACCAAGCTGTGTGGTTTGGTTGATACACTGGAGGGAAGGAATGCCATCCAGAGGGACCTTGACACGCTTGTGAGGTGGGCTGATGCCAACCTTATGATGTTTAACCATGACAAGTGCAAGGTCCTACACCTGGGTCAGGGCAATCCCAGGCACAGCTACAGGCTGGGCAGAGAAAAGATTCAGAGCAGCCCTGCAGAGAAGGACTTGGGGATGCTGGTCAATGAGAAAATGAACGTGAGTCAGCTTCAGTGTGTGCTTGCAGCCCAGAAAGCCAACCATATCCTGGGCTGCGTCAAAAGGAGTGTGACCAGCAGGTCGAAGGAGGTGATCCTGCCCCTCAACTCTGCTTTCATGAGACCTCTCTTGGAGTGAGTGTAGAGGTCTGGTGTCCTCAATATAAAAAGAACATGGAACTGTTGGAACAAGTCCAGAGGAGGGCCATGAGGATGATCAGGGGCCTGGAGCACCTCTCATATGAAGATCGGCTGAGAAGGTTGGGGCTGTTCAGCCTGGAGTAGAGAAGGCTGTGTGGAGACCTCATAGCAGCCTTCTAGTATTTGAAGGGGGCATATAATGATGGTGGGGATGGGCTCTTCATTGGGGACTGTAGTGATAGGACAAGGGGTAATGGGTTAAAACTTAAACAGGGGAAGTTTAGATTGGATATAAGGAAGAAGTTCTTTACTGTGAGGGTGGTGAGGCACTGGAATGGGTTGCCCAGGGAGGTTGTGAATGCTACATCCCTGGCAGTGTTCAAGATTGTGTTCAGGGCCAGGTTGGACAGAGCCTTGGGTGACATGGTTTGGTGTGAGGTGTCCCTGCCCATGGCAGGGGGGTTGGAACTAGATGATCTTAAGGTCCTTTCAAACCCCAAGTATTCTATGATTCTAAAATAATAGTTGTTATGTGGAGGAGCTTTCTGTTAGGGTGAAGTCTGCACTGCAAGGTGCACTGTTGCACTCCCTGTTTATTTCAGTGAGAACCCCCATGCAATCTTTTTCATGGCCCAGGTCCACCAACGTCAAAATTTAGAGGTAGTAAACAGGGAGTTGGTAAGTGTTCAGGTGTATTCCTGTGTTACAGTGCACGCTACATCCTCTTGTGTTGTCATTGTGTACAAGAACCAAATGATGGGGACATACCCTTCTAGATTGAAGAAGGTGAGAGAGCTGCACTTTCTTCTCTCTCTCCCTCAACCCAGGGGTGCATTTTGCAGGAGAGTGAAGGAAAAGAGGAAGGATTTTGTCCGTATGTATGTCCTGTGTCAAAAGTGGCTCCTCATTAATGGAGGAGTAGATCCTGTGAAAGTAACAAATAAGGCTGATGCCTTTTATTTCAGTTTGCTGTGCTTTGTTTCTGTAATGGACATTATTACCACTATAACTTATGAATTTCCTTGCCTTCTGTCAATTTATAGTTTCTGTTCTTGGTATGCAGATTAGATGAACTTGAAGCCTGCAGTCAATCACACATTAGCATGTAATAACAAGTTGTATTTTAAGTTAACACATTTTGTGCTACCAGTCCTATGTGCCATTCATAACAGCTCTCTGGAGATGTGATGAGATCTGTTTCCCCTCCTCCCCATAAAATGCGTTTGCATTTCTAGTATGGATAAAGGTCAACAAGGTCAAAAAACAACTTAGCTGCAGTATTTGAGGGAGAATCAAGTATCAAGTACAGGTTTTGGTCGATAAATTCAAACTCAACGTTCAGTGTTACTTTGTTTGGAGAAGCATTTGCTGGAGTCTTTTATTTTTCTGCCCCTTTTAAAAAAAGGTTAATTCTGAGAAATCATTTTCTTTTAACAAAGTTGTTTATCATGATGTGGTAGCTGGGTATTGATTAAAATATGATGATAGAGTCAATTAACATGTTCAGATGTAGACCTGGAAAATATTTAGCTATAATCTTTACTGATCTAGGCAAAATATCCTTTATAAACCATGACAGTGTTAAATTGGCACTTGCAAGGAATTGTCAAGAACAAGACAAGAAACTCGACTTTAAAAAATCAAATCATTTTAGAGTCACTTTTATTATGGTATGATGAATGTACATGATCCACTATTTTTTCTTAATGTATTAGTTGTATTCTGCATGTGCAAGAGTTGTGTGTGCACATTTGTGTTTTCATTTACACCTATGTATGCACACACCTATAGACATTCATACTGCCTTAAAGTATTGGGGAAGATGGGTGAATTCCAGACAGTAACTTTTTACACACAGCAAAGCATAGATTCTTCATTAACCTCATTAACCTGATCACAAGTCTGTCTGTTGTGAAGCCAGCAGTCTGACCTTAAGCATAAGTATTTTGCTGCATGGTAAAACACATATTTACACTTGGGAGTAAGTTCTTGAATGTGAAGAAATCCTGATTCAAGGGCCTCTTGGAATCTGTATGGTCGTTTTTGTTTGTCATCTTTATTGTTTAAGTTTTCCCATGCATGATGTTGTCCCACATCAAAAAGCAAACACCTCTAAGTCTGGCATAGATGTGTTGTAATGTCATGATAACTGCTTTGTGTGAAAACATCAGTTATGAATCCTTTTTTTTCCTCTGCTGAGGATTTAATATCTGATGCCTCATATTGCATTATGCCCAAACTTAAAACAGTTCAGAGGTCAAGTACTGAGCAGATGCCTCAAGTTGGAAGAAATGATGCAGGAGTAATGCGTGTTTATTTTTATCAAAACTAATGAGATTTTGTGGGAAAAGAAGTAAGATCCACTGAATACTAATTCATTCACTTTATCACTGAAATTGCTGCTGATTGACCTGTAATGATTTTTCTCTTTGAAGCTGTTCATTCTGCCTGTTGCATGTATCTTTAGGTCTGGCCCTAAGGGCTCCTGGGAGACAATGAGTTTCTGAACCACGGCATGTTGCTTTCACACCCTTTCTGGGCCATCTCTCTCTTCCTTCTCTATTTTAATGGAGGCAACTTTTGTGCCTTTAGCTGTGGTGTGGGTTAGAGTTCCTGTGATGACAGCACAGAGCCCACATTCACAGAAATGCTTCAAAAGCCAGGCCAGGGAAGATGTGCTGCTTTGTGAGCTGTTTTGATTTTCTTCCCATTAAGATACCTGAGAGGAAACAGGGTGTATGATTGTTGTCAGCTAAGGAAAACATTCAGAGAAAGCTGAGGGTATTTTTTAATAAATTGAGTATCATGTGTGTTTATATGTATGAAAACATGCACAGAAGATGAGGAGAGAAGCGAGCCATATGGCAGCGGGTTGCAAATGGCTGTACTGCTTAGGGAAATTAATAACTCTAAGCATTGATATATATGAGCCTGCTGGGGTTCAGACGTTCGTATGCTGGTGCTTTGAGAAACTAGCTGAATCAATAAACAAACATTTGGAAGCCAAAAATACCCAAGCCAGCATACAGCTTAAAATTCAGAGAAGGAGCCCTTAAAAAGGACTTTAAAAAGAAGAAAAAAAAGTCTGGACTTCTGCTATGACTTGAAATATAGGTAAGATTAAAAGGGGCTTGCTTATTTTTATAAATTTGTAGATAGTATCTGTTTCCAGATGTTTTCAGTTTTTTTCTATCTTAAGCTCTAGAATGATTTTATTAATATCAACATCAGTAACTTCTTGAATTACTGAAGCAGAGCCATTCCAAATTCCTTTAGACCCATCAATCATGCTTACTCAATGACTTCAAAATACATTCTTTCTCCTTTTAGAGAAAGGTTTTTATATGAGATTCCGTCCTTTCTTCTGGGTCTTTTCTTTGGCAGAAAACCCAAACTTTTATCAGAAAAGGAAACTGTGCAGAGGTAATTTCAAAGTAAAGATGTCTGGAGCTGTCTTTTCAGGACATATATCCATGGCAACAGGGCATGTCAGAAGATCACTGACTTGGGATTTATGAGTTCTTGTAGCAACATCTTTGTTTTCTCTTTGAGACAGAAAAGAAAAATTAGGTTGAAAACCTGATTCTTCCTTTTGCCTAACGTGGCCTGTGCTGGTTCCTCTCTCTAGAATCCCATGAGCAGTTAGCCTTTCTGAACACCTCAGGAGGGATGTGGCTGATGTTGCTGTTGGGGCTTATGTTCATAAGCACTTTTTTACGCATGTCCATCGTCTGGCTTTTTATTTTTGAGGGGTTTGGTTTTCTCTTGGGAAGCAGATGCAGGATGTATTTATCTGCAGGTGAAATAGCTGCACACATCCATCATCCATCATGATGGATGTGTGCATTCCCTTTCTACCTGTATGCTTTTACCCGAAGTTCTTAGTTGTCCTGTCCACAAAATACTCAGTGGTCACCCTATCCAGATGCCATCTCCTGGACAAGACTTGGCCAGCAGACAGCTGCTTGGTAGCATGCATGGCCTGCTGAGGAGTTACCAGTCAGGATGAGTGTCACAGCTGGGTTGTATGCTGAGTTCTGAATTTTACTGTAATCAAGAGAGAGATTCATGTCCGTCTCAACCTCAAAAGCTTACCTCTTGTAAGCTGTCAAGTAGGGACTGCAGCAAGTCAGGGATAAGGCAGACATGATTTAAGATGTGATGTCTTCAGTATAGAAGGAGCTTTGGTCAGACAATTAGAATTTAGATGGTCATAAGGATTCTGAAAGAGGTTCTTTGTTGCTGCA